AACCGTCCATTACGTCATTACTCCAACACCGGTGACGTAACATCTCTCATATGAATGTCACGAGATGAGGTTTCAAAAATTAAAACTCACGTGTTTTTGGAATTTCTTCAAATGTCGCCCATTTCTGAAATAATGAATTTATTCCATACTTTTGCATCATACTGTATAATGTCAAGGGCAGAAAAGACATTTTCCGTAAGAGTTAGGTACAAAGTTTTACCTAGGAGTGTTTTTGTCCATATTATTTATGGAAAAATAAGGTTTTTAATAAACAATCTTTCATAATGATGCTACAAAATGACACATGAGACAGAATAGTTACATGGATCATTTAGTTGGTCTTAAATATCCTTATTTTCAACAATACAAAAATATTTGCATGCACTGAAAAATAATGAAATCGATTTTTTTCTTCATCGACATTACTAATTGGAAACTTATTTGAAGAACATTTAAATAAAAATAACTAAAACATTAACGATAGTAAATATTGAAATTGAAAGTGCAATTTGTGTTTGTTGCATGCTCTAATCTATGCTCTAATAAAGCAGATGCAGCAACAACTCGAAGAACGACGTTTCTTTGAATTTGAGTTTATAGCGACTGTTGCTATGAGTACGTTCTGGTAACAACAGTTATCGTATACGGAAAAGTACAACTTTCAAAACGAAAAATCATGCGGAAAAGATACTTTTCCGTATACTACCGGACAAGATTTCACCCAGAGTAGAGCATTATTAAAACTCGTGACAAAAAAGTTTTTGAGAATTATAATTACTTTGACCTGCCATGCTTATCTTACACTGTACGTTTTTGATTGATCAATTATTATTACATAATACACAATAATTATATTAATTCCGAGATTATTTCTAGGACCGGAGCACCCTTGCTTGCAAATCAACATTTAACAACAAGTGCAACAGTTGCAATTCATAATTTCAATTCACAGGGCATGGCCATGTCTTTCACATGTCTAAAACGGTCCAAAACGACTATGTTATTAGCGATAGTGTCTCGGATTTTGTTTGTGAAATCTCGACTCGACTCACCATAGGTACAATATTTTCACAATGTCGAATAAGGAGATAATCACTAAGCACTACTATGCAGAGAACACATTGACAGTTTGCCACTTCCAGTAAACCGATAAAAAAAAACTTAAAAGACATTGCATCTACAATAAAGCCCCCTGTCGCGGAAATAAATGATTGTCAAACAAGAGAAAATAAAACCGGTGAAGCGGAAAAGAACGGGAATGGGGGTCGAAGATAAGGAAAATCTGGGGAAATCCAAAAAAAAACAAAAAAAGATGTGTGAGCACAAATAAATCGGGCCATTATTTAGGCAAATAGATCCATCTCCTAGATCACTGTCTTCCACTTCCAGGATAAAGGAATCCTTTTTACGAGTGTGATAAATCAACTGATTTTCTTTCTGTTCACTGTTCAGACTTGTCCAATGAGGCAAAAAACAGAGCGTGATCATGTTTCTATTTACATGTTAGACAGTTATGTCCGCTTGATAAAATATTGAGAAAAATACGCTCTAATAAACCGGATAATTGCCTGGGTATTATGATAGTCCAAGAGCCGATGTCTAAAAATATTGAAATTGAGTTAAGTCGTCCCCAATATCCAAAACAAAATTGTGCACCTATGGGAAAACGGATATAAGTCAAAACACTAAGGTTTCGAAGTTATTGCAATATGAAAAAGGTGATATTTACAAAATGTGACCATTTTTTGGTGCTGTGAAGGGGTATATACACATAATTATGTCCACTCGCGAGAGCGACTTAGAGGAAGTTTTTTGTGAAAAGTGATGTAATTGTACCTACAGTTGGTGTGTGGTGAGTTGTGAGAACATCAGGTATAAGTGGACGTATTCCCCCTTCGCAGGAATCGTACCTTTCATATTTTTTTAATTTTAGGAGTTTAAGTATATTTATGCCCCTTTGCACAAAATATTGTTCACATAAGTAGTAGAGAAGAGAGATTTGAGTGAACATGCATATATCCGACCACATATATTTCAGCCCAGTACACATCACATGATAGAATTATACTTATATCCCTTTTCACTACTTTTGCAATGACAGGATTGAACATGTTAATATTATTTTCAGATGATTTCGTTCAGTGACCAATGAATTGCAGTGATGTGAGGACGTATTTTATATGACGAAAAAATATCTATTATATACAATCGGAAAAACTTATTTTGTATTGTTGATGAATCGGAATCGAGGGGTAAATCTCCAGGAAAAATGTGTACACCAGACTTCCAATCAACATAGAATACCAAAGATTTCCAAAGACATCCAAAGACTTCCAAATACTTCCCGAAGACTCCCAAAGACTTTCAAAGACATTCAAAGACTTCCAAAGACATCCAAAGACTCCCAAAGAGTTCCAAAGACATCCAAAGAATTCCAAAGACTTCCAACGGAGTGTACACCAGACTTCCAAGGAGATTAACCCCTCGATCGGAATTGAGACTATGTATTCCAAGCGGATTCAATTACTGAGAGATTTTGTTGATGATGCAAGTGCTAGGAGAGAACAGGCTTCCATTTGTTTTATCAAAACATTATGACAAAGGATGATATTCCAAATACCATTTCATCTAGTGATGAAGACTCTGAATGATTAAACTTCCATTTGTTCTTCATTCAGATTTTCCTATAACGCAGATTTTGCTATATAACGCAATATACCTCTTATTCCTATTCGAAGTTGTTTTTGTATTCTCATAACTAATAAAGTTTACTTTCGTATGTGATATATTTTTTTAATCTTTCGACTTTAAGTGAGGAAAACCTATAATGTTAATGGAACCTCGTGTGAGACAGCAGAAAATACGTTGATATTCTTGAATGTCTGGTGGTTGTGGTGGTAGAAATCCTTTAACAATTCGGGAATCTTGCATATCTATGAAAGAAAAAAAATACTGCCACATGAAAGTTCAGCATATTATTATCTGAAGCCTGATAATTTCATATACACTATACTCAAATGGGGATAAGGGGTATATGTTAGTTTTTTCACTGTAATTCCCGCGGGAATGGATCAAAGTTGAAGATTTTTCTGCTCAAAACTAAAAATTTGATGGTTTCTCGACACAGATTATCGAGGTCGTAAACAAACATATCATTATATCGTGGAAGGTTTTCATGCGATAATTTGTGGAGGAAATGCGAGCATGTTAACCTTCAATCTCAATTTCCCACAGATTTTGTACATAATACCTCTTTTCCGACGCAGGTGCCATTTAATAATGAAATGCTATGATATATTATCTTCCAAAGGCATTTAGAAACATTCCTGTGCAGCAATTTCGCGGGCAATTTGCACTCAATTTCGCGATTTGATAGAGAGATAAGAATTATGCCATCCGATACCGTAATTGGATGGTGGATCTCAAAAATCTACCTGTCCGACCCCTCAATCTGAGCCAAATCCAGAGCACGACGATTTATTTGCTGCCATTATTCCGGTCATACTTCCGTCATGTAATACCTAATGGGAAGAAATAAAAAGCAAATGAAAGCGGATAATATCCTCTGATATAAGCACATATAAATTAGTGGCAGAGTGTCAATATTTCCGAGAATATTCCACCCCTCTCTGAAGATAATATCCGATGGACCAGTGTAAAACTCAACATGTGGATTAGTGCGAGCACCACATGACGGAGGCGAAATATTCTCGGAAATATTGAATCTCTGCCACTCTGCCACTAACTTAGATCTTTTTGAATTGCACGTTTGGATATTCGCAAAGGGAACATTAACCCCTTTCATGATGGCAGTATAAATCCGGAATAATGGCAGCAAATAAACCGCTGTGCCGTGGAATTGATTGATTGAGGAGTGGTACAGGTATAGGTTTTTGAGATATACCATTAAATTGGTATCAGATGGCATAATTGTTATCTCGTTATCAAATCCCGAAATTGAGTTCAAATTACCACCTCGATTACCACACAGGAAAGTGCCATTTTCAATAGTATGGCTCAGGATAATAATTGACACAGGTGCCGTTTGATAAAATACCTAGGAACAATGTAATGACATGCCTTTGGAACCGATTTTGGAACATAAGTATGACATTTCGTTATCAAATGACTGTCGAAATTTGCAGCCGGCTCTCTTACTATACAATAATCAAATAGCCTCAGATATGCACATTCTTTTACATGTTTTTTTATGTGATACAACCAACCCAGCTACATTACCTGTAAAAGTGTACAAAAACCTAGACAAAAACTGTCTGAACAATCTGAACATTCCAAATATAGGTCAAATCTAACCTATCACAATGAAATAATCATGACAATTTATAAAATCTGAGGAATTATAGGTAGTTTTTAGGTCCATTGGTAATTGATTCGACTGATTCGAGAAACCCCTCGGAGAAACCAATGAAAAGAGGCATTTTTATTTCAGTGTCATTTTTTATAAACAATTGCACTTACCAATTTGAGGAGCATTCTTTAGGAATCATTGGAAGCGTTTTTCTGAAACATTTTGCTCTGAATTTTTCACTAGAGAATAACACTCGCGGTTTCGGATGTTCGGTAGATGATAAAAAAAATGTATCTGTTATTGAAAATACCACCCTACTACAACGTCTTCCATGCTGATTTTCAAACTGAACACGCGCATGCGTTAGAAATCAGCTGCAATAATGGATTTATATTTTGTGTTTGTGACACATGGGAGCGAGGATGTAGAAAGCTACGAATAAGAAAACAAATAGTTTCGCAGTTTCCATTAGGTTTCCATACACAGCAGGTTTCATACCAGCAAGACAATTTAGTTGAAGTGCAACTGACTAGATGGCGTGGACTTTCACGATTTGCAAGGTTGGTAGAACTGATGATAATTTGTATACGATTCATAAGGTTGGTAATATGTCCTGCTATGTGGGGGTGATTGGGAAAAAATGTCTTATTCACTCTTTATTTTAAAAGAAAAGGCAGTTTGAACTATTTTTAAAATAGATACTTCATTCAACTGAAAGAACTAAAATTAGCACAAAACAGTGTACAGTAAAAAAAAGCACAAAATATAATATAGTAAATCACATTTTTATGAAAAATAAATCAAACAAATCCAAGAATATTTAAAAATGATTTCAAAAATGTTCATGAAATGAAGCAATGTTGTTTTGAGCACAAATTTCTGAACATGTTTACTCTCAGAAATATAGGAAAACGTCATCACTTCAAAGTTTCAATGGACTAAGAGTAGCTATAGGTATAGTCATTTTGGAATAATTCAAAATAATTTCACTATCATAAGACATATTATCTATCATGTTGAAGATTTTCATATTTTCTGCAGACCTAATGATTTTATCAAAAGAGATTGTTTTCATTATTCACATGAACATAAAAATAAAAATGTCCAAAACAAATGGATTCGAATTATCACTTTCTCCTGACTGCTAAAACAGAATTGGTTATACAACATAGATTCACGGCAAAAATCAGTCTTGAACACTTCCAGCAATATCAAAAATTGATCAACAATTGTCCATATCCATATTATTTATACAAACTGCATCTTCATCATCCATATCATGACCATCAGGAACACTTTCAGCATTATTGTTCTCATTTCTTTCACCTCCATCATCATCTGAATCAGCCACCAACTTGGCAGGGGGCTTCCAAAGCACCAGAGCAGTGCAAGGGCTTTGAATCAGAGACACTATTCTCTGGGGCAGGATGGATTCACATTGAAACTTCCTCATTTCCTCACACATGTACAATCTTTGAACTTGATCAGAACCAGTCTCTGTAGAAGCTGCCGTTTCAGAATTTATGTGGAGTCTAGACATGTGTTCTGCCATTTTTTCTTCTGTGATGTGTTGTTTGGAAGGTTGTAAACTACAATTTAATAAGATCAGTAATTGATGCTGTCAATTAAAAATAATCCAGGGAACTTACGGTGGTGAATCAGTTTTCCTTTTGAATCTGAACTCTCTTTGTTTACTTTCATTATTGGTGATTTGAAAGGGGAACTGCACAAGTTCCTGCAGAGGCCTGGGACTACCAAAAGAAAATGTGCTTTGTGGCTGGGTGAAAGGTACCATTCCGCTATTCGGTCGCTGATCCAACACGGGATTCATTGCAGTTCTAACTGAGGTAGTTGCCATAGGACTGGACATTTGTGATACAGCAGGAGGACCAGGAGAAAAGGGCCCACCTGAATACGTTTGTGGCTGACCCGAGACAGCATTATTAGGGTTGAATTGCGGAGCTCGGTTCGCGAAGGGGTTTGGCTGATTCCAGTTCACCCCAAAAGGAGGTGGATATGGGTCAAAGCTGAAAACCGAAGTTGGAAATTGCTGATTGGATTCGCTTGTCATTCCAGGAATGGAAGGATTCATACAGAAATGTTTGATCTACTGCCTCACAATCTCACAAATATCCACAATCCCAGTACCAACAAACAATAAAGTGTTTGTTGTTTTGAACAAAAAAGGACAACACTGAAAAAAATATAAATACCAAAATTGTCTTCCAAAACAACGATGCACCATACGGAACTTGACGGAACTAAAATTTTCAATCTAGAAAACACTAGAAAAAGGTTCTCGTCCAGGATATAACGTGAAGATAGCAACAGCAACAGAACGGCCACTCGTACATTGTCCTTTCCACCATGGGCTCTATCTATCATAAACAGAGAATTAATGAGGTGCTTTCGTTCTTAGCCTCAGTGCAATAAAAATTAGAGACAGAATTAAATATAATTTGAATATACAACTCGAAAAAGTGTCCTACAATGTTTACAATGATAATAAATAAGAAGAATTATTTTTATCGTTGTCTGGTCGTCTGTCACTTGGTCTGTCACTAGTGTCTTTTCCGTTGTCTGGTTGTCTGTGACCTCATCCGTATCTGTGACCAAGGATTATAAACTGTCACTACCTCAGACGAATGTCACTATTCAGTTTGAGCATTTGACATTTGACATATTTCACATTTTCAATTTTTCTCGTCATTTCAATTTTCATCGTCTTTTCGATTAGTGTCGTCGTAGAGTGAGGTTGATTGTACCATGACGTTAGTATTTTAACTCTCAAATATTTTCACCATCCTTCAATAATTCTTTTCGAAATGTAGAGGAATAAATGAAATATTAAGTGATTCGTTCATTCCTAAATATATTTTTTATATTATTACTCATCATAACCGTATCTTGCAGGTCGAAAGTGTCTCGTGATACGCTTTATGAGTGCGTTAACGGAGTTATCGCTAACTCCAAAGAGAAGAAAAGGAACTTCTTGGAAACCGTAGAAGTTCAGATTGGTTTGAAGAATTATGATCCCCAAAAGGACAAGCGTTTCAGCGGAACCGTCAAGTATGTAACCTGTCCAGAACTGTTTTTAGGTTAGACATGTTTCACTTCATATGGGCCTGAAGGCAGTTCTCAAGACAGGAAGCCAGTATTGGCGGACCTGCACCCAGGGTCTTAAAACAATTGGGGAGATGCACCTGGGTTCTCCCAGGGACATCGACCAATAAAATATAGGTTAAAATGAAATCAATATTGTTGGTTCCACCAGATTGGTAAGTTTCTTCTGCATGAACTGACTGGACAGCATATAGAAACATGTGGTATGAATGTTTCTATATTTATTTAGCTATGAAAGTACCTGTTCTTCTCTAATTTCAATTTGTAGTGATATTTTTTAGCATCATTAAGCCAACAAGTAAAATGTAGCCTTGTTTTTCTTGTTTGGATAAATGGTGCAAAATCAATGAGCAGTATAACTACCATTTTTGCTGGAAATGTGACCATGGCTTTAAATCTGCACAACAGTTGTTCTTTGTTCTGAAAGTTATCATTGTATTGAAATTCTGGGGTGCATTAGCCTATTGACTCAGAGTAGAGAATGTTATGAAGATTTCATCAGTTTACTCTGGCTCATTTACTATTCCATGTATTCCAACAAAATTTCAAGTTGATTCATTGATCACTCAGAATGAGATTACCATGTGGGTCATGTTTGTCCAGTTGCAAATATAGTTGTTCGATCAAGTCATGTAATGAGATTCTTGAAGGAGTAGGTTTATTCCAGTTGCAATATTAAATAAATGTTGAATGCTGCTTATCAATGTTCAATTCATGTGTCCTAGCATATAAAATAATCCTGAATAAGTTTATGACTGAATTGATAATTGAATATTTTGTCTTAATTTGACAACCTCATCAGTTACTTTCTGAAGATTTTATGATTTTTTCTTCATAAATATATGAGCTACTCATTTCAGTGTCATCTGTGTGAAATTATGTTGAAAGTAGTACTTGAGGATGTTAAAATGATCAAACTGCTTTCCGAATGAACCTAACCTTACTGAAAAGGAAAATATAAAGTACTTCATCCTTGTTGGCCCTGTTATAATTGTGTCTAATCAGTTGAGTAAAATTTACCCACCTAATTTGTGGAGTTACAAGAGTCAACTTGACATCAAAAACACTAATATTTTAGAAACAACAGCTACAGAGTGAAATAGACACAATCTCATGAATTTTTAATGTAAATGAGTAAACTACTCCATAGAGTCAGTATTTGATTGTACCCATGGTACTCATTAGAAACAGGACTGTTTTTGTTGTGTATATAAGTTCTTTTTTCTTGCTGCAGGAAAATTGAATACGTGGCTTGATGATTTTTGTATTATAGGAAATTTGGACTAGTATTTCAAATGATATTCATGTATGTAAACACACAATCTGGTGAATTTTGAATGTGAATGAGCAAACTCTACTCCATAGAGAGAGTATTTTGAATGCACCCTTGGTACTTATTAGAAACAGGAATTTTTTTTGTATATATATAAGTACTTTTTTCCTAATGCAGGCAAATTGAATACACTGCAGATTTCATTGTAGCTAAAATGTGTGGCTTGATGATTTTTGTATTATAGGAATTATAGGACTAGTATTTCAAATGATATTCATGTATGTAAACTGGGTCAAACAAAATTAATAACAATCCATGGATCTGCCCACAGACTAAAGCACATTCCCCGACCAAAAATGCAAGTGTGTATCCTTGGTGATCAGCAGCACTGTGATGAGGCAAACGCCAATGGAGTGCCCTTCATGGACGTAGAGGCCCTCAAAAAGTTGAACAAGAACAAGAAACTTGTCAAGAAGCTAGCCAAGAAGGTACATTTTCCACAATTGTAATACCGGACTAAATATGTTATTATTATTATCTTTATTATTCCCAAGAAACATATATGTTTATAGCAGGGAAAATTATGAAAGAGCCACTAAAAAAACAAAAATTAGATAATCAGATGATCATTTTTAAATCATATACATAATACATATGATGTTGTTTCTTCTAGAGACTGTTGAATATAATTTCTTGAATTGATTCAGGATGACATGAAGAGAATCACAGACATAAGTATTTTTTCAGTTCTTTTTTGAATTTTTCAACACTTAATTTTTTCTTTAGTCTGGCAGGTAATTCATTATAGAGAATTGTTCCATTGTATAAAATAGATCTTTTACCCATATCTGATTTAAGTTTGATGAGAGTTAACATATCTTTTTGTCTGGTTATGTGTTCCTGTTTATGACTATTGACTTCAAAATTCAGATTTGAATGTGAATGGATGAAATTCAATATTTTGAAGATTATAGCATATTTACCCAATGAATGACAATGAGAAATTGGTGTTCCATTCAAAACAAAATACTCTTGATAACTCTTGACATGAATTTTTTATACTAAATATGCCAGAACTTGTAGATTTCTTTGTTTAATTGGTATTTCTTTGACATGAATAGGATCAAATGAGAACATTTGTGATATCTTTCATCCCTGAGTATAACAACTTATTCCTCAGGGTTTTAATGTTGCAAATTTCTTGGGAAGGAAGGAGTTAGTTAACTTTGTGGTTGATTTTTTCATTTAAATTCCTATTTGACATTTTTTTATATATCAACAGAAGTTGTAAAAGTAAATGTTTTAAATATCTGAAATGCCCACTTTGACATTTTTTAAATGTCAACAACAGAAGTTGTAAAAGTAAATGTCTGAAATGCCCACACGTGGTAGCTCTCTTAATTTCGGTAGTTTTATGAAGAATGACTGAGGATTGAGGAATATGGTCTTTAAGTAATATCTACTGGACTCAATCTTCCATGTTTATCGATTTTTTATATCATTTTAATGGTTTACATACAATCATACAAAATTATTCTCTTCACTCAAATGGAAAAATATTATCTTGTATAATCTACTAATCATCAATATTTTATTTGAAAAACGGTAGACCTCAAAGAAATTGCCTTCAGTGCATTTCACTGTTTTTGAATTCCCTCCATAGAGAAGAACCATATAATATATACCTACAGGTTGAAATTTTAATTACACCACTGCTTGAGTTCCTCCATGATTTTCAATCAAATCAAGAAATATATCAGTTAGTGTTGTTGGCATATTTAAAAATTTTCTTACAATAGAAAATGCCTGTTATAATGTTAGTGAATCTCTTGAAACTACAATGGCAATGACTGTTGGACTATTGCACAATAGAAATTTACCTAACCAGCTAGGATACACTTAAAAAAAGATTCCTTATTGAATGTTTCTTATCTTACTGTCTACTATATTTTGTTGAATATATTTATAGATAGATAGAATTCATTGGTCCCATAAAAATCCACATAAAAAGATGTGAAAACATGTCAGAACAGGTACATATTTTATGCATAATTCATTCTTAACACTTCATTGAAGACAAAATCAACTGAATGATAACATAATTATAGATACATCATTTCACAATGCAGACTAGAATCATAAAATATTCACCATGTTCCCTGCTTTAACAAATTATTGATTTTGTGTGATGATGGGAGAATCACACAAATTGCCTTTCCCAAGGTGATAAAATATTTTTTCTGATTTTGATGAAAAATTTTGCTGGAACAGAAATGGGACGAATTGACTTCGCACGTCATTTTGAAGTATCACTCAAACACAAATATAGTCATAATTCTGCCAAGAAATTGAAGACATGGACTCCTTTAATATTTTCATTAGTGGAAAATCCTGTTTCAAGTTAAGATTTCTCAGGTGATTTCAAGAAAGCACAAAATGCATTAATCTCGTCCATTCATATTTTCATTACTTAACTGGTGTGGTGTTGAAATGAACATTTGATCAACAGTTATGTAATAATTTACTTTAGGCAACACTGGTCACGTTAAGTAAAACGTATCAAAACTTCCGTCAGTTTTGAGAAGTGTCATATTACATCTAAAAATTTAGAAAAAAATAACGTTCAAAACAACATATCATTCTGATTTCTCAGTACGACGCTTTTCTGGCTTCCGAGGCATTGATCAAGCAGATCCCCAGGCTGCTGGGACCCGGTTTGAACAAGGCCGGTAAATTTCCTGGTCTGCTCAGCCACCAGGAGTCCATGACTCAGAAGATCGACGAGGTCAAGGCCACCATCAAGTTCCAGATGAAAAAGGTTGGTTGAATAAGTTTTACGATTTTCTATTTTTGTCATCCCTTGGAGCACCCGAAAGAATTCCTATAATGTTCGTGGAACATTGTGAAAATAGGGAAACGAGGTAGGAGTTAGATTTTTTTTTAGATTTCGGAGGTTATGAGTTCTTGGGAATACTTCCATTGGCAAAGATTTCCAAAGGTTAGCCATTCTATAGACATAGACGAACAAGTTTTGGTAGAGGGTTGCTCAAATAGCTATAATTCTCATTAATGAATAATTGAAAAATACCATCTAGTTTACTGTCGCAAACCGTTTTTTCCCCAGAGCTCTGAACATTTTTTGAATATTGAAATTCACATTATTTTGGTACATAAAAAACGCGTAACGTATCATCCGAAAATAATTGTTGAATCTATCCCCTATTTCTGGAAGACAAGTGCAAGAATTTCTCTGATAGTCGCCCTAGTCCCAATAGACTAGTCAATTTTCTGAACTGAATACTTACTGCAGATAACAATGAACAAAACACACAACTGAAGAATCAGATAATAAGAGGGATATCTTTGATTATTAGCATCTTGACTAGATGACACAAGGATTTGAAGATGAAGGTGATTAGAGACCAATATCAAACTATTGTCTTCTGTGAATGTGAATACTGTTGTCATTGATCATATTGAATCTCATAGGATAGGTAATTTCTATTTACAAATCTGGCAGTGTTGAAATATGTTTGTCTTTCGGTTCATGACGTCATCAAAGTTGACGTTTTTCGTAGGGACCGAATTTGATTATTGAAAAAAATATATGCAATGATTTTAAATTTTTTTTTATCGCTTGGAGCGCACGAAAGGGAATCCCTATAATGTTCAAAGAACATCGTGCGTTCCTAGGGAGGATAGGGACAGGAGGTAGGTATTGGAATTTTTTTTGAACTTCTGGAGATTATATGTTGTTGGGAACACTTCCACAGGCAATATATAATGATAATAATGATAATAATAATATTTATACAGGGATTGATCAATATGAAATAGCTTTGTGGTGTAAATTTCACTAGTGTGTACAACCCTATTAGTGGAATATTTGATGACACAAATTTTGATGGTGCAAGTTTCAGAACATTTTCAACTCCATCAAGTTGAAGTTATCATTCTGATTGGTATAAATCATAATGGTGATTTTCAAAATTGTCCATATATATTTACGTCAAACCTCAATTCTGATTATAGGATGATATTTTGATATCAGATGAATTTTCATTTTTGATATCACAATAAAATCAGTTGGCGATATGAGAACCTTTTTTATAACAAAGTGCTACTTTTCTTGACAAAAACCAAGGATTACTTGATATGTGCATTAAAATTTGAAGAAATGATAGCTATTATTTTCTTGATTTTCGCCCGCACAAATTCACACAGTAAGCCTTGGTTTTAGTATGTCAATTTTGTCCTAAAGTACAATTTTGCATGCTCTTCAAAAAGAGACACATTTTTACAGTAAATAGGAATTTTAGGAGGTTGTCATTTTTTTGTTATTATACTGTGAATGGCATCATTAAGCCAACAAGAACAATTCCTGTCAGATGTTTTTGTTTGGATAAATGGTGCAAAATCAATGTCCAGTTATAACTACCATCTTTACCTAAAAATGTAACTGTGGCTTTAAAACTGCTCAACATTTTTGTTTAGTTTCTAAAGAAAATATTCTGTTGTTAGTAACATGCCAAAAAATTTCTTGAAAATTGGAAGTTTCCCAAGTCACATTTCTAAAAAGAAATTTTCATGATCTACACATTTCTTTGAATCAAAATATTCTCGTAATTAACTATTGTTTTTATATTTTTCTTCAGGTACTCTGTCTTTCTGTAGCTGTTGGACATGTTGACATGACCACCGACGAATTGGTACAGAACGTCCATCTTGCAGTCAATTTTTTGGTGTCCCTACTGAAAAAGCACTGGCAGAACGTCAGATCTTTACACGTCAAATCTTCGATGGGACCCCCTCAGAGATTATATTAGGTTTTTATTATAATGAACTTACATACTGCTGTGTATGTATTTGATAAATAAAAAATGATGTATAAATTTGAAGTATTTAATTTCTGTTTCCTTTCAGACCATGCTGCAAACATGTGTTTTCTTCCACTATGCATCATCATGTAACCTCTCATAATGAAATTCTAGGAAAATTTCAACTTCTTCGCATCTAGTGAAACATTTTTCGCTCCTAGTGAAAAATTTTTCGGAAATTCCTGCAAGTACTTTCATTTCCCACCGTACACAACGAGACATGGATGGATATAATTTGCCAATCGGTGTTTTCTTCGCATTTATAATCAAAAAGAATGTGAAATATGTTGAGCTTTTTCGAAAATTCGATTGAATATTTAATAAATCAAAAGTAAAAAAACTTTCTAAAATTTTTCTTAATAATTTTAACTATCAACTTATAACCTCATACACATTTTATATGATCATAAAAGTTCGTCGCGCGATTCACTTGAACTAGTTCTTATTTAATTATGTAAAAACTGCTGAGATAAAATTTTTAAAATTACAATTTGATCAAATATTGATCATCGCGACAAGATTTTATGATCATATAAATAGTGTATAATGAGGTTATAAGTTGATAGTTAAAATTATTAAGAAACATTTAATTTTCTACTTTTTAGAGCGTTCAAATAAAAGCTCTTTATTAGAAGGTTCTTTTTATTTTTTAGTTATCGCTAGCTGGATTTTTCGATTTACTCTCAACGAGCCTTTTCATTTGATACCCATATTGTAGAATTATATTGAAAATGACCATTCCGCCATCTTGGATGGTCCGCCATAATGGATTTAGAATGACGTCACATCATTTTTCGAGTTACTCTCAACGAGCCTTTTCATTTTTGATACCCATATTGTAGAAGTGTATTAAAAATAGCTATTCCGCCATATTGGATTAAGAATAACGTCACATTATTTTTCGAATTACTCTCTACGAGCCCTTTCATTGGATACCCATATTGTAGGAGTAGATTAAAGATGACCATTCCGCTTCTTGGATGGTCCGCCATATTCGATTTAGAATGACGTCACATCATTTTTCGAGTTAGTCTCAACGAGCCTTTTCATTTGATACCCATATTGTAGATGTAGGTATATTAAAAAAAAAAATTAAAAAACGAATATAATTCTAGTAATAATTCATCCTTGGAAAATACGTTGTGTTGCGAAATATCCTCTCGAAGTGAATTTCTTGTAAAATAACAACCTGATCGCATCTGTGGTGAAACTTTTTTCGAAAATTCCTGAAAGTTATATACCTTCATTTACCATCAGCATACACCCAAAGAAATGGATATGCAACATAAACATTGGATATATAATGTGCCAATCGCTATTTTGCCCCATTATCAATCAAAAGAATGTGAAATATTCGGTCAAGCGTTTTCCAAAAATCAATAGAATATTTCAAACATGATAATTCTTGTTATTTATATCCTTGATAGCAAAAAATACCCAGTAGTAGTTATCTATTTTAGTAACGTTCTTATAGTTACTTATGTTCAAATATTTATGTAAATCCTCCTAGTAAAATGTAAAACATTGGAAAATACATATTGTTTTGCAAGATAACCAATAGGTATACACGCCGGTGTTTCATAATATAGGCGCAGGATTTCAGGATGTGATATAGCTCGTCCAAAAATATCAAAAAAAGGTTCAATGAATTTACCCACTAAAATGCACCACAGAAGTGAAAAATTATCGTTTTTTGCGAATATCTCTGGAACTGTTTCTTGCATACAACTTTATTATTAAAAAAGGAACATGCTGTATGTATTTTATTGCATTTTTAGATTCTTCTTGAAGAGCTGATTTCATCAATGCATCACACTTGGGGTCTAGCAGGAATGATTACAGAGATATATAGGGTGTTATGAATCGAGATTTTTCAATTTTAGTATTTTTTTGTGTCGAAACTATCCATTATCGATCAAAACGGCTTACATGTCCCTATCTCAACTTTTGATTCACTATCTACTGGAATTTAATTGGAAAAATTACAGGGTGCTTCAAGATTCAGAATTCTGATCACCCTGTATCTGTTCCAATTAAATGTCAGTAGATAGTGAATCGAAAGTTAATATAGGGACATGTAAGCCGTTTTGATCGATATTGAAAAAATCTCGATTTTGAACACCCCATATATCTCTGTAATCATTCCTGCTAGACCCCAAGTGTGATGCATTGATGAAATCAGCTCTTCAGGAAGAATCTAAAAATACAATACAATACAGGGTGTTCCTTTTGAAATAACAAAGTTGCTAGTTGTTTCTGATAGAAGTGGCAACACTGTATCGATGAAAATATTTTAGACGGATAGAGAATGTTCAATTATCAAAGCATCCCAATTTTCAGAATGTTTTGTCTTTCCGTTCTCCAGATACTTATAATAGGCCATCCACCGAGGATCACCCTGTATATGTTGAAAACATGTTGAATTTTTTGAATACATTTCATTTTACTACCGGTTCCAGAGATATCTGATCTGTATCTCGAAAATAGTGCAGTTTAGAGAGTAAGAAACATTTTTCATATTTTTGGACCAGCTATCAATCACATCCTGAAGTCCTGCGCATATATTATGAAACACGCGTCCCTGGAGACTATTTTGATAATAAAGTAGGAATGTATATAGAGGGTATGTACCACCATTCACAGGGATATTTTTTCAAATTATTAATCAAGATTAGCTAGAGTAGAGGTATTTCTAGGTACTTTGTAACAATGAAGACTACAGAAGTAACCTATATTATCAGTATTTAGAATTCAGTAATCTTTGCTTGCAATCTTAATCCACCCATAAACGATATACCTATCTGAAATAACTGGAATTAGGTTTTTATAGAGTCAATAAATTATAATCATTTAGCGTATTGTATTATTATCTGTATATACCTACTATCTGAATCTGTACACTAGATGAATGTATGGACGGTATTTTCAGTTGTAAATTGGAATTTCATTTAAAAATCTGTCCAGAATGATAGAAAACGAAATTAGTTCAAATTGTTTTGGTATATATACATAGAAAGATTTCGAACACAGATCCTAGGAACAAAAATAGTGAAAAAGTACATATAAACATGGGTCCAAAAATGGCCTCCTGGATATGACCGATTCGCAAGTGTTAGGAAATTTCCGAAATTTCAATCAGAAGCGTCGGAAATAGAGGTGGGGGCAGATGCTCTTTTTCTCACAACTTTTTTGTTTATGCAATTTTCGGCACTTTGACCAGAAAATATGTAAATCCCAACATTTTCACTCAAAAATTGTACTCTTCTTCAGTTTCGATAGCATTCACCATACTCGAGATAAATCAATTAAAAAATTCTGCTGCTTCATGAATATCGTGATTTTTTCTTCAAGGGTACCGAATTTTCCCAAAAATATGGTTTGATGGAAATAAATACCCCTTATTTTTGAAACCTACTTCGGATGTTTGATTAAAAATATGAGGAGTGCAAAAAAAAGCATGATTAGAACAATAATATGGAATGGAAAAGGACTTTTGAAAAAAGTTATTAATATTTCAACAGAGGCAAAATTTTGAGGTGTGACGAAATCAGTGTTGCGTGTACTTTATTATTTTTCTACAAGCGGCATAAAAGTGCCTTTTCTCTGACACTCAACAGGCAGAAAAGGTGTACTTTTTCTGCCTAGACAGAGTTGCTATACAACGTTTCAAGTAATTCGAATATTATTGGTAATCAAAATTATTGACACTGATCGACATATTGGGGGAATACAAAATGAAGGATTTTTCAATGAAAATATCATACGAAATTGGTTTTATAACTTAATACCTATTTCTTCGGCGGAAATGCTGGCAATTTGTACTGACGGCATTCCAGTGGCGGATCTACGATTTCTGGGGCCCTAAGCTTGATAATTCTTGGGGCCCTTGTGGCCCCTACCCATCATTTTTTCTCCTCCTGTTATTTTTTCTCACCAATTTTCCCATCTAACATTTTCTGACCAAATAGAAGCGAAAAATGCATGATATGGTTTAGGATATAATAACAAATAAAAAAAAATCAGAGCCACATGAAATAAAATGAACGTAACTATAACACTAGGATCAGATACGTTCAAAATGAAAGAACTAAACCATAACGAAATTACTAGGAGAAACATATACTACGATATCACTTCCAATTTTCTGATTCACGAATCTGCGAATACTTTTATTGCACCATCATAAATCGAACTGCTCATCAAATCACTTCCGATGGAAAGCATTCCCAAAGTTTGTTATGTTCTCTTCGGCATTAAGTACACAATTTGATTTGATTATTGATAATTTTGAATTATAAGCGCTCTCCTCCTCAATTTGTCATTGATGGCAGTGTTGAAAACAAGTGCAATGTAGTATTTTTGCATTGAAAAACACGTCCATCATTCCTTCAGTATAGGGTCTTGCCGATTTCATAGGAACATTATTACTATTTCCTCAAAAGGTATACGTTTTGAAGGTAAAAAAAATTGCCGTTCCTGAAAAATTGGGATGAAAAAACAGAAAATCATTTTGTTTTTACTAAGTTGATATTCTATCTAAATCGAAACGGCACATGTTTTTTTTTTCAGTTTGCAAAATGCCATATTGCCGTTCCTGAAAAATTGGGATGAAAAAACAGAAAATCATTTTGTTTTTACTAAGTTGATATTCTATCTAAATCGAAACGGCACATGTTTTTTTTTCAGTTTGCAAAATGCCATATTGCCGTTCCTGAAAAATTGGGATGAAAAAACAGAAAATCATTTTGTTTTTACTAAGTTGATATTCTATCTAAATCGAAACGGCACATGTTTTTTTTTTTTCAGTTTGCAAAATGCCATATCGAGGAAGTTATTGAACTTTTGTCGATTTTTGGAATGTTGCCGCTGCTTCTAGGTATATATAAAATAAATACCTATTGCTCAAAAGAGAAATTCATTTTAATCATTATTTCATCTATACAAACGAACGTCGGGGCCCTAAGCTTGAGCATACTAAGCGTACCGGTAAATCCGCCACTGCGGCATTCAATTTCTCAGATTTTATTTCTATAGGTAGATTCTAGAAGCATCAGATGTAAAACACACAAAATTCCATAGATTTTCTTTCACAAGATTATGTGAGTTCATTGCGCTTTAATTCTCATTCCTAATAATTATAACAATCATATTTTCTCTACTATTCAGTGTTATTTTTATCCATTGATAACGTTCATCAAGCCTGATATGATGAAGCAACTATTTCCTTTGATGAATTAGTTATAAAAAAGAAAAAAATCGACAGAAATAAACCAAACGTTTAGAGTCAATTAAAAGCAATCGATCATATGGGACGCACCAATATAAACCATAAACGAATAATTGAAGCCAATTTCCCAAAACGCCTGTATATAAAGTGGAAACAAACGCATCTATTTATAGATCATCTGTTTCTCAAAGGGGGCCGGTCCATATGCCAGAACAGACTCACTGTTACATTCCCATCCCATCAGCAGTTCCTGCTTAGCAAGAAAAAAAAAATGTCGCATACAAGCCGCCCTTATATCTAGTCTAATGATATCGAAAATGAGAAGACGAACTAGAATCATAATTTATCAACGCACTCGAAGATAATCATAACTGATAACGAACCGTCCGTGGTTATCTCGATGGAATACATAAAACACAAGTTCGCTGAATATTCGATGTCTCGTTATAGTCGTTATCGTGTTTCGCTTACGCAGTAACCAAATATACAATTGTATTTTCAGTAAGCATGTGGTCAAGTCTTCCTCAACGCGTTTGCTACTGATAAGGTTTTGTTCGATAAGGGCTTCCGTGATTCGGGTTTTCAACGTCCGCAAATGATTTCATCAATTAGGGTGTCGCGTTTGGTTTGAGAGCATGAAACTGATTTTTTGTGCCATCATCCTGTGCGCGGTGCTATCAAAACGGGTGGATGGAACTATTCCTAGTCAGACATCACCATCCGGAGCAACAGGTAAGCCAAAAACCCACTCAAAATAACAATGTTATCAGAGTACAGATATTTCAAGATCATCCTCAGATAATGGAATAGAAGCAGTAGAACAGTAGTTTATCTGTTGGAGCTTCGTCATCGGGCACATAAATTAATTCATTTTTCATTTGTTCATTACTGCTTCATATAATACCTTGGCAACGGTTGCTATTAACAGCAAATCATAACGCCCGCTAATTATTGTTTTTTTCTGTAGTTCATGAAATTACATACCAATTCTTGAAAGTACGCAAATAACACGAAGGGTCATCTATATAGCAATAATTTCATTTTTCGACTTCCATTGATTGAATACTTCATAATCCTTGTCAAATATACGCGAGTCTGGATTTCTCCGGCAATGAATTAATCAAAGCTTGTCTGCATTTTTTATGATATTCTTGGATGAATTCGTATTCATTTCTATAAGACTACACAAAGGTTGCGTTTTATTTATCCGATTCCGCCACCGGAATCAGTTTGATGTGTCGTTTTATTTGCAACTTTTCCGATTCCGGTTGCTACTTTTCATTCCGTCTCACTACAAGGAATGATGTGGAATGACTGTTGACAGGTGTAAAAAATTCAAATTAAATTGACGAAAAACGAAACTTTTTGAAAGTAAAAGACATTTAGAAGACTTTTCCATCGTGAGTTTCACTAGTTCATGATCCTTTAGTAAGACAAGTTTCATAATATGTTCATTTCCACTATTTCCAGATAAAATAGATTCTCTCGATCTCAGAGAAATTTCTTCAATCACCGCAATCACTGCTCTAAATATTAGTTGATTTATTTTCTAGATTCTTAACTCTAGTAAAATGATTTTGAAATTATACGGATCCCCCATATACAAATAAAACCTCGTATGAAAATTCTCTCATGCAAGGTCATGAAGTTTCTCGTTTTATTTGTAAACGTCATTCTGTTCCCACCACCGCTACCAGAATGGATCAAATAAAACGCAACTAAAGAGAGCACTAGAGCAGCAATGACATTCACTAAATTGAAGGATGACAGCAATATTCAACAAATGTCAAAATATAAACAAATGCCATAACTACCATATGAGAAGAAAATGTTAGGAGCAATGAAACGCTTTCGGCCCTCGGGTGAATGTTTCCCTCCGAGCTTTAGGATCTATATAACGCACTTGGTACATAAATAACTAAAGTGCTCAAAAAAACAAGTGGACCACTGAAATTTTCGACAATTTTCGAACTGTCATAACTTTATGAAAAATGAATGGATTTTCAATCGGAATGCAGTGTTTGGAAGATGCGATCTTTCTGTTCAAAATTCCTTGTTCAAAATTCGTCGGGAGTTTTTTTGTTATTATACACCAAGTGTTCGAAAAAAGTCTTACAAAAATGAAAAAATTCAAACGCTTCCGTATTCCAGGGATTTTTTTTTCTATTAGACTTTTTTTCCGAACGTTCAAGCCAATATCTCGAAACGGTTTTGTAATTTTCCATATTCCTCATACAGGATGTTGAAAATGGATGATTTTTCATTTTTAGGTTTTTATCGCAGCATTTCCGGTTTTAAAATTATGCAAGTCACATTCAACGTATTTTACCACTCTATACGATGAATCACTTCCTAGAAAATGAAAATGTTCAGAATTTGGTGAAATCGTGTTCAGTTTGGTGCTGCCATAACCATTATGCTACGCTAAACACAAATCCTTCATTTGGATCGATTGCTCAGCTCAATATCTCGAATTGATTTCGTGATTTTTCAGATAAGGCAATCCAAGGGGGCGCAAGGAGGTCCTTCTGGGTTCTGGGTTTATCTGACCAATTTATTCAATAACGATGCTACAATGGTTTTAAGATATTCCTGAGCTGACATGAAGTCAAGAAACCTATTTATCGCAAGGTTTAACATCGCGTATTCGGAAATCAATCGAAAAAGTCGATTTCTTGTAATCAACACTCATTTACGCAATTAATACCACTGCAACACCCAATATAATGCCTCCTATCGAACCGATGATGACAGTTGTCGAAGGTTCGACATTTTCTAGGATGTGTTCCATCGTATAGAGTGGCAAAATACGTTGAATGTGGCTTACATAATTTTAAAATCGGAAATGATGCGATAAAACCTAAAAATGAAAAATCATCGATTTTTAAATTCCTGTATAAGGAATATGGAAAATTACAAAACCGTTTCGAGATATTGGCTTGAACGTTCGGAAAAAACACTTAATGGAAAAATAAAAAAAAAATCCCTGGAATACGGAAGCGTTTGAATTTTTTCAATTTTGTAATACTTTTTTCGAACACTTGGTGTATAATGACAGAAAAACTCCCGACGAGTTTTGAACGAGGAACCTTGAACAGAAAGATCGCATCTTCCAAGCACTGCATTCCGATTGCAAATCCATTCATTTTCTAAAAAGATATGGCAGTTTGAGAATTGTCAAATATTCCAATGGTCCACTTGTTTCTTTGAGCACTTTATTAATTGCAGAGTCAGTATCTTCGTATGGTGCGACAACTGCTTCTTCATTAGAAGCTTCCAGTTCTGAAGGATCGACAAACAAAAAAGTAAGTGACAAAAATAACAAAAACACATTGAGCAATACTTAGACTTCATCGTCGCAGGTTGAACATTTTGAAACTACAAGTGTAGAGGTAGACACACACAGAACAAGAGAACCAGCTCAGGATATCAATGTCATTAAAACACACTCAGGGGCAAAAACCTCACATTCAGATAGCGGACCAGAAGCAACCGAAAGTAATTCAACATTCGACAAAGGCAGAACCACAGAATCCACTCAAACTAACAATGCCGTTAGAACACACTCGGAGACGAAAAGCTCATACTCAGATAGTGAAGCACCAGCATCACCTGAACCAACGAAAAGTAGCTTATCTGCTTTACATTCATCATCAACAACTACTGAAACAACTTCTTCATCAAAAGTGGATGAAGCTGAAAAAGTAACAACAGAATCGACAAATTCTATTAGTCAAAACAACAATGCTATCAAAACATATTTAGATACAACGAGCTCATCTTCAGATAGCGGAGTAAAAATATCCGCTGAATCAACAGAAAGAAGCTTATCTTCAATACCATTATCATCAACAGTAGGGTCAGTTATTTCGAATGGAGAACGAGCATCTACCAATTCACCAGAAACTAGTTCAAGTATTACAGAGAGATCAACGAGTGATGCTAGTTCTCCAATAATTCCAATATTAGCAAACAGGTTTGGGCAAACATTGAGCGATCAATTGGAAGGAACTTCGTCTATTGAGAACCCAACATTTTTTTTTCCAACTGACACTCCTCAGAAAGGAGATAGTTTGATCCCAGTTAATACAGCCAGTTCTTCGGAAACAACTCATGTGAACGAGCCAGATGTCACAACGAACTATCAAAGTTTTTCAGATACAACACAAATGAGCAGAAGTAAGTATAAAAAAAATAACAATAGAAATAATAATGAATATACCTGTAATACACTCAGTTCCAGAAGAAGTGACGCACTTGATATTTGACCTATCTTCTTAAAAAAAAAATAGGCCGATTCTCTTTTTTTTTATTTGATGGTAGGTAATGCATTTGTCTTTAAAAAAATAAAGAGGTGAACATTTTTTCAAAGCCTCTTTGATGGTGGTGGAATAACTCGAACCATGATTTATTCTTAATTTTTGACTCACTCTGTGTGTTAATTGAGTAATGATATACAAAGTGCTCACACCCTATACGAAAGAGGCTTCTTTTGCGAGCATTTTGTTTTTTTATTCATTGATTTATCTCTAAAATTTTCCGAATTACAGCTTTTTTGCTGATACCTTACGCTTATCCCACAAATTGAATTTATTGAAGGATCAGAGTACTCAAAATTGATTGGGTTGTACTCTGGTAGGATCACATTGTCTTTAAAAAAACAAATGCCGTTGCCATAGCATCTAATTTGTTGTATGCCTCCATATTTGACCATTTGTCGTTATGTCAATAATTAAGTGTCTTGTTTTATTGACTAAAATTACATAAAATGCCTCAAATAAATCCTGAACAAGTAGCAAGATTAGTTGCGTTAGTAAACGATGGGCGTAGTAAACGTTACGCCGCTCGTGCAGTGGGAGTTCATATGAAGCAACTGCTCGTAGAGCAATCCGCAAGTACGAACAAACAGGAAGCACCGCTCGGAGGGTCGGTTCTGGTGGCCCCCGAAAAACTTCTCAAAGAGATGATCGCTTCTTAAGAGGGCATATTCCGCAGCGCCTCCGCCAATAAACGAGGTACCGCTCCCAAGTTCCCCTATGGTTATGGATCATGCTAGAGGCTTAATTTTTTTTTCCTGGGTAGTCAAAGGTGCAATCGATGCATCTTATCGAATGGATTTTCATTTTTTTACATAGACTGATTTATAAACACCTGTAAAGTAGCGCAATTTTGACCGATTTTGTGAATTTTTTTCTACGTTATGGAATCAAAAATGGAAAAACTACTCGATAAGATGCACAGATCAGATGTAGTACTTTCCAAAAATAATTTTTATTTACTGAAATCTTATTTGGTTTTCGCATGGGAAATTGGGAGCGGAGGCACCGTGAAGAAGAATTTTCCCTGTGGGCGCGGCACTTAACAAAAATAAGCTCCTCCCATAAAGTTCAAATGCCTTATTGATAGTCAATGGTCCTATGATGAAGTATGATATTTATTATTTTCACGAAATAGTCTGCGATCCAATTACCTATTTATATTTCGTTCAATAAACCTACAAGACTTATATCTGATGTATAATAAACATAGGTATCATGATAGAATTAACAAAGCAACTGTGTTATATCTACTCATATAATATATATTTTTTAATTCTTCGAAGACAGGGAAGTGTTGGAATGTTCTAAACGATATCTTTAGTACCTATAGTCCAACAAAATAGATAAAGATATCAGGAACATGATAAAATGATTTGATGGATCAGGGTGAATTTAGCTATGTATAGACTAATTTTTTTATGCGAAGTTGAGCGAACAAAAAACACGGTTGCTTCGTCATACCGCCATTTCTATAGAACAGGTGAGATGAGCGAAAAAGTACTCCAAGATTTATAAGACATTTTACATTTTCCATATTATTTTGAAAAAAATGAATGAAATACTGATCTACTTATCCCACAGAGGAATGTCCTGGATAATAATAATAAAATGGAATATATAGATAAAATCCGAAATGAAATCGTTTTGATGTTTGGTTAGGTATGATGCGTTTTTTGCTTTCCAATGAATTCAAAGAATCCAGAAAATAATGTATAGAAGAGTTGAGATCAAACTGAGTCAAAGCTGTGAAAAGAAGATAGACAAAACGAATCACCGTCATTCTTTGGAGGGGTATGCAAGAGAAAAAAATCTCTCAGGCGGTTAGTTAGAGAATTATATATCCAAAAATACTTAATCAATGCAGCATCGTTTTGGTTTAGGGAGAATGAACATTTGCAGAATTGGAATAAGAATAAGTGAGGAAAGCGAAAAAGTACTCCAAGATTTATAAGTCATTTTACATTTTCCATATCATTTTGAAGAAAATGAATGAAATACTGATTCAATAATTGATGAATTCGAAGGATCTAGAAAATAATGTATAGAAGTTTGAAAAACTACTGAAACACGCTTTCATGGATAGCCAAACTAAATAGAAGTAGAAAATAAAATAGAAAAAGTGTGTTAATACATATTTAACTGAAAAAATATTTTCTAGAAATATTGTTTAATGCAATACAAAGTTCACCAGGTCAGCTAGTGCCTGATATAGCTGTCTGATGCCACCATTCCCACACCAAGTCCACTATAACTATGCTCGGTATTTCAATCAGTAAAAGACTTTCTAAAAATAATCATAATCAGGTCAGATCCATTGGCGCGAAATCTGCTCCACAAAAACTTGGATTTTCGTTTCTTGCGAAAAGCTGCTTTACACCTCAACAACCATTTTCGAAAATAATATATTTTTCACTGATTTGACAGATCAATATTGAATAGCTAATTCTAGGCTGATTCATTACCCAATTTTCGAATTTTTGGCTCATCGTTTCAAGCAAAACAATCCATCAAAAGCATCTTTTATGACGATTTTTCAAGACGAAATGTTAGATTGATTGTGAGCTCAATAACTATTTCATTTTGGAACAATTTGCTGCATATTTTTTAAAACAAACCTGTGGCTTCTTGACTGATTTGATAGATCGATATTAAAAGGCTAATTTTAGGCTTATTTATTACCTTATTTTTGAATTTTTTGCTCAACGTTTCAAGCAAAAAAGACGATACGATTCGTCGAAATACGCGGTTATTCAGTATACATTATGCATCTATCAAAAGCATAATATTTTATGACGATTGTTCAAGACAAAGTCTTAGTATTGATTGTAAGCTCAATAACTATTCCATTTTGGATTTTTTCGCAGCATATTTTTCAAAACAAACCTGTGGCTTTGCTGTCTTCGGGCGAACTCAGCAGAGCCACTTTTAAAAATAATATTTTTTTAAACCGATTTGATATATCGATATTGAGAGGCAAATTTTAGGCTAGTTGATTACCCTATTTTCAAATTTTGTGCTCAACGTTTCGAACCAAAAAAAAAAAAACGAAACGATTCGTCGATATATGCGTTATCCCGAGTCCACTATTATTCTATCAAAAGCATATTTTATGGTGATTTTATAAGGCAAAGTGTTAGTATTGATTGTTAGCCCAATAACTATTCCATTTCAGTGAATAACGAATCGTTTCGTGTTTTTTTTGTTCGAAACATTTGGGAAAATATTCGAAAATAGGGTAATTAATCAGCCTTAAATAAGCCATTTAATCTCAATGTATTGAATCGATGAAAAAACAATGTTTTCAAAAATGGCTCTGCTGATGAGTTCGGCCGAAGCTAGCAAAGCCACAGATTTTTCTATGATAGAGAGGAGCAAGAAAATTTGGCATAGGGAAATAAATTAGCCTAAAATGAGCACTACATTTTCACTAAACCAGATCATCAAAAAATGTTGTTTTTAAAAATAGGCTTCGCTGAGTTCGGCCGAAGCTAGTAAAGCCACAGATTTTTCTATGATAGAGAGGAGCAAATAATTCGGTAATGGGGTAATAAATTAGCGTACAATGAGCCTAAAATTATGAGATGATGTGTCTCATGTTGAACATCGAAAGTGTCTTTGTTAGCCTCTTCAGTATGTTTCCAAGTACTCAGGTATATGTTCTCCAAAAGTTATAAAAAAAAATCCAATACTTACCCCCTCTCCCTATCCTCCTCAGATGAGGATTTCCTTCCGTGCGCTCCCATCGACAAAAAATACAACATTCCATATTTATATATCCTGTTGATAATATAATCATCATACCTTTACCAATTGGTCAATTATCAAAAATGTACAAAATATCTAATCACCAGCGCCAAAAATCGAATAGGTAATGACAAAAGTTCAAAATATTAGTAATTATGAGACTATTTGACTGTCTTCGATATGCTTTGATGAATAATCAACCGGTTGTCAGTGAGCGGCAAAAAGTAATCAAGACGGTGTCGTCCTACTTTATGTTCGGTGTCCTCGACGTGCCGCTCGATAGACATACGGATTCCAGCTTTTCAGGTTGATCCCGCCCCTTTCGAAGCGGAAGGGATAAGACAGAAAACTGATAACATTCGAATAATTTCGAGTGGCATATGGCCTCTTAAGATTGCCTCGGAGATTGCGGATTTAACGGAATCGATCAAATACTGCGGTAAATGTTCAGCAAGATCTTCGCCAAATTCGTGATGTTGCAGTAAGTAAGCAGACGGTATGTAGACGTCTAAAAGAAGTTTATTTAAAAGCTAGGAGACCTGCAAAAGGTCCCAAATTATTGCCCGAACATCGTGCTGCTAGAAGAAATTTTGTTGAAAATTATGGCCAGTCGAATATTCCTGAATGGTCGAATGTCTTATTTACGGATGAGTCAAGGTTTTGCCTCAACATGGTGGATGGAAGAAAAAGAGTGTGGAGAAGAACTGGTGAACGGTTTAATCAAAATTCAATTACAGAATGCGAAAGTTTTAATGGTGGGTCCGTTATGATGCGGGGAGGGATTTCAATGAATGGAAAGACACCCCTTCATGTTTTTCCGGTGAGGCAGTCGATGAATGCCCAAATTTACATTGACATTTTAGAGCAGTATGTCTTACCTTATGCAGAGTTAGTGGGCAATAATTTCATATTGATGCAGGATAATGCCCGACAACACACCGCAGCAATAGTACGAAACTTCTTAGAAACTACTGGTATTACCACATTACAATGGCCTGCGAGAAGCCCCGATATGAATCCTATAGAACATTTGTGAGATGAATTAGGGAGAAAGGTACGTTCTCGCGAGAGGTTTCCGGAAAGTCTCGCAGAAATGGCGGATGCATTAGTGGAAGAATTGGATCGTATACCAATGGAAACGATAAGCAACTTAATTTGCAGTATGCCTCGTAGATTAGAAGTTCTTGAGTTGCTAGAAGAGGCAATACACGGTATTAAGCAGTCATCCCAATTTATAATTTTGTGTTTAATAAAAATGTTTTTTAAAATTATTGGTATCAGTTCATTTCATTAGAAAATTGTTTCTCGATAAATTCAGAAAGTTGGTAATCTGCAAGGATTCAGCAAAAAAAGCTGTAATTCGGAAGATTTTAGAGAAAAATCAATGAATAAAGAACAAAATGCTCGCAAAAGAAGCCTCTTTCGTATAGGGTGTAAGCACTTTCTATGCCATTACTCAATTAACACACAGGGTGAGTCAAAAATTAAGAATAAATCATGGTTCGAGTTATTCCACCACCACCAAGGAGGCTTTGAAAAAATTGTCACCTCTTTATTTTTGTTTCAAAGACATATGCATTACCTACCAACAAATAAAAAAAAACAAAAATCGGCCTACTTTTTTTTTAAGAAGATAGGTCAAATATCAAGTGTGTCACTTTTTTTGGAACTGAGTGTACTCCTTATGTCCAATAACCAATAAACCATTACACGGTTTATTTCATATGCCAGTAATTACAGGCTGTTCCATTTTCACGGGATATCCCACTTATTTTCAAAGATAGAGATTTGCGGAGGTCGCGAACGTTTGCTACTTTTTTGTGAAACTCACGATACCACGAACGAAATTTTCATAACTCGCTTCGTTTTTGGGATCCAGAGCGAAATTGAAACTTATCGAAAAAGTAAAAACTGCCTTCTACACATTTTTTCACGTTGAATCCAGTGGCGCAGTAAGATTTTCTAGAATAAGCTGTTATAATTGAGATATAACCGAAAGTAATGTTTTTTCAAATGGAACAACCTGTATATTTTTTTATATTTGAAAAATTGATAAACTGTTCTTTCTAGAAATATATAACACTTCCAAAATCTAGCCATGAAGTTAGATAATTTTTCAGTTTCTCACTAGATATTCCATCGATGGGCCTTGAAAATATGTGGCAACGATGTCCATATCTCGAACTTTCATATTTACCTTGTTGCTGATACACTGTTTTATCACACGCTTGTTTTAATTTTACCAACATTCAACATTTTCAATATTCAGCACTATTTATTGACTATAAAAACTTTGGACCTAATAATTATAGTAGCAGGTGGCTATGAAAAAAAATCGAGTGCAGAATGTTTCATAATATTTGTCACCTAAATATCAAATTTTCAAATTTTTCATACAACGGCAAATGAATATATCCATGATATAAAATCTACGAAATTTTAGAAACAAACTTATATACCAACGATATCTAATTTTCAGTAGTTTTCATATCCTGTATTAGTATTCATCATCGTATGGAAAATTTCGACAGGTAGAGGATTAAAAAAAATTCATTGCTTATAACGACCCGATAATTATATATATTTTTTATTGTTAAGATGTTTTCTACATAACAGGTACAGGGTTTCCATAAATGATCGTAACATCGTAGTAGCCGTTCAAATATTTTTTCCATTTGACGCCTTTCATCTATGGAGATTCACACATTCACACATTCGAATTTCTGACATCAGCTGATAAACTCACAATTGTCAGTTTTTCGTTAAAATTTTCAAATGATTCTGTTTTCTACTTCGTGATTGTCCTGTTGAAAAGAGTGATGGCTTATTCCTCGGAGCAGAATACATTATTTATTGTTATGTTTTATTGTCGAAATGGCACATACATCAATGATGGATGGAGTACTCGGTAGTAGCCTGCAAGGATGAGTACCTGGCGAAATATCCTAATGTACAGATTCAAGAATCTTCTTTGAAAGCCCACATCAGAACAGTGATCAACAGATTCATCCAAACTGGAAACGTTAATAAAAAGAAATCAACAGGAAATATTGGAGGAAGTTGTCGAAAATCTAAGGGCGCGTGTTGAGCAAAATCCCCAAACGTTATTGAAGAGATTATCTTCTCAATCTGGTGTGCCACTAAGTACATGCCATAGAGTGCTCAAGAAAAGATTGCATATGCACCCTTACAAGACCAGTGTGTACTACAGCAACTTCTGCCAGTAGATATCCCACGTCGTCTGGAGTACTGCCAATGGTTCCAAAATAATCTCAACGATGACCAGCTATTGTACATTTTTTCAGCGATGAGGCTTGGTTTCATTTGTCGAGATACGTGAACTCACAAAATTTTAGGTTTTGGAGATCTGAGAATCCCCACAATTTTATTGAAACTCCACTACATTCTCAAAAAATTGGGATGTGGTTAGCAGTTTCTCTTAGGAGAATATATGGACCGATTTTCTTCGATGGCACTATCAATGGTGAAAGGTACAGACAATAGTGATGTTAGAACCATCAATCAATCAACTTGATGATGAAGAAATTCGAGTCGGTTATTTTCAGCAAGATGGGGCCACTGCCCACACCACACGTGCAAATTCACAATATTTACAAGAATTTTATGACAATCGTGTGGTCGAGGAGTTGATCCTTCTTTTCCAATTCAAGAGAGACAATAATAACCTTGAAGAGCTGCAAGCCTCAATAACACATTGCTGCCAAAATATTGGCCCGGAAATCCTGAGGAACATTTTCGACAACAAACGGCGAAGAGTTTTGAAATGCTTGGAGAACAACGGAGAACATTCTGAATATTTGATGTAGGTTAATGAAATAAACTGTTATTTATTACTTCTTTAATAAATATTTTTGATTTGTTCCATTATTTTTCAAACTCCAATATTGGGCTCTCCTTTCTTTGAGATACATTTCCATACTGTATGCAAAACGATGTAAAAAAAGATCCTGATGTATATGATCACTTCCTCAATTTTTGGTCGTTGAATGGTGTTAACAGCATTAGTAGAAAGCGGCAAATAGAAAAAAATGTCAACAGCCACTACGATGTTACGATCATTTATAGAGACCCTGTATATCAACTCTTTCTCAGCTACCATTTTGTTTTACATCTGTTCTACTTGTAACTTTCTAGGTACTTTTTCAATGTGTCTGAAGATGGTCGTAGAGCCGAAACAATAGTCACACACTGATTATTTTCATATTTAATATTGTGGTCGACCGACTTTGAGTTCGTTTTTTCTCCTGTTGGTAAACACAACAGTCAATAAACGTGCTTTTATTGAATTTTCCAAGAGTTATCTACTTTGACGACTTGTTTTTACAGCAAATTATAATTTGATTTGAATCACGATTGAAATCGAAAAAATCAGTTGATTTGAATCATGATTTGAATCACGATTTAAATCATTTGATTTAAATCGTCGCTACCCTGCAGGTGATGGTATTTTTAATATGATTTTCATTGTAGATTCTTCTGAATCCATTACTATTCGTACCGTTGTTGAAACAGACACAACTCTAACGGTTTCTTGGGAATCCCCTCGTCCTGGATTGAATTACCAAGTCAATATAACTTCATTAGGACCCAACCATGTCACTCCAAGCGATTGTAGCGAAAAACCTTTTTCTCAGCTTGAAAGTACCACTGAACTGTCATATACTTTCCGTAGTCTTTCGCCAGATTTCAACTATAATGTTGATGTAGCGACTACAATCGACAATGAAACAGTCAGGTCGAATGTATCTGTGACTACCGATACTGCAGGTAAAAGAAGGAGAAGTCACAGTTCCTGAATAGTTTATCCAAAGTCAATTGGACCGCCTCGAGCCGCACGTCTACTCACTTCAAAAGGAACTTCAAACCTGCCGACGCCGTGCGGGAGATGTTCCAATTGACTTTGGATAGACTATACCAAAAATTATCAATGTACAGTGTGTCCAGTTTTCGATGCAAATTTTGCTTTCGCTCGGCTTCGCTAAACGCTCCGCCTCGCAAATGCAAAATTCGCTTGTCAAACAAAGTGTCACTTTTGATCCTAATAAAACAATCTACTATTTATTGAATTTTCCAATGAGTTATCTACTTTGACGACTTGTTTTTACAGCAATTTATAATTTGATTTGAATCAAGATTGAAATTGAAAAAATCAGTTGATTTGAATCATGATTTAAATCACGATTCAAATCATTTGATTTAAATCGTCGCTACCCTGCAGGTGATGGTATTTTTAATATGATTTTCATTGTAGATTCTTCTGAATCCATTACTATTCGTACCGTTGTTAAAACTGACACAACTCTAACAGTTTCTTGGGAAGCACCTCATCTTGGATTGAATTACCAAGTTAAAATAACTTCATTAGGACCCAGTCATGTCACTCCAAGCGATTGTAGCGAAGAACCTTTTTCTCAGCTTGAAAGTACCACTGAACTGTCATATACATTCCGCAGTCTTTCGCCAGATTTCAACTATAATGTTGATGTAGCGACTACAATCGACAATGAAACAGTCATGGCGAATGTATCTGTGACTACCGATACTGCAGGTAAAAGAAGGAGAAGTTACAGGCCCTGAATAGTTTATCCAAAGTCAATTGGACCGCCTCGAGCCGCACGTCTACTCACTTCAAAAGGAACTTCAAACCTGCCGACGCCGTGCGGGAGATGTTCCAATTGACTTTGGATAGACTATACCAAAAATTATCAATGTACAGTGTGTCCAGTTTTCGATGCTTTTGCGTGATATCTCCGTTATTTTTCGAGATAGAACTTTGCGGTTTTCGCGGTCCTGTGCCACTCAAAATGGCCTAATCAGATTTTGCATAACTGTATATAAATTTATACTTTTTGGACCCCCTCTATATCTACGAAGTTTCTCAGCGAAAATGTCAAATTTAAATCGTATCCCATAGAGAATTTTGCGCAGGGTCCAGTGGCGCACTCAAATTTTTTTTGGGGGCATGGTTTTAGAGATACGTCTCAAACTTATGATTTTTCAAATGGAACACCCTGTATTTCATAAGCTCATTAAATTCCTCATTTTTTTTCATCAAAATGAACTATGATGTAAAAATATAGAATTTCCAAAAATGCTCCAAAATCACTAAAACATTGAATTTTGATAGTGGGCTATGGATTTTTCATTTCAAAAACGTTTCAATTGAAGGGATATTTCATTTGATTTTTCTATGAAAAGGACTAAAACAATTCCAACACTAGTTATCTAAAAAAACACAAAAATTAGGTACCTGATAGCAACAAATAAATAGTAATAAAAAGTTCATAATTTAGAATAATCACCTGATTAAATATTCACTAAGACAATTGAATTTCGAAATTAATCAGTAACGTATTCATTGAATTGTTCAAATTGATGTCCATTTTCCCTCACACACTTTCTCGATACGTCCTCAATGCATTCAAAATCATTAAACGATGTCTTTGTAATTCCTCGAAAAATGCCTCTGTTGTTGCACAAAGTTCTTCAAGATTGTTGTACCTCTTACTGTATCAAGACGTATTGAGAAACTGTGTCAATTATGTGTTATGGAAAATGGACATCAATTTGAACAATTCAATGAATAAGTTATTGAATAATTCCGAAATTCAATTGATTTTTTAAATATTCAATCTGGTGCTTATTCTACATTATGAACTTTTTATTGCTATTCATTTGTTGCTATCAGGTACCTAATTGTTGTGTTTTCTTTGTTAATTAGTGTTGGTATTGTTTTTGTCTTCTTCATGGAAAAATCAAAATAATTTTTCTTTCATTTATAACCTCCTCACATGAAAAATCCATAGACTATTAAAATTCAATGTTTTAGTGATCTAGGAGAATTTTTGAAAATTTTAAATCCATACATTATATATCATTTTGAAGAGGAAAAAATGAGAAATTTTATGACCTTATAAAATACAGGGTGTTCCATTTAAAAACTCAAAATGTTGAGTGCACCACTGGATTCTGCGTAAAATTCTCTTTGGGATGAGATTTTAATTTGACATTTTTGCTAAGAAACTTCGTAGATATAGAGGGGGTGCAAAAAGTATAAATTTTCAAAATCGCCCTGTATCTCACATAAACGGAAACAGTTATGCAAAATCTGATTAGGCCATCTTGAGTTTCACAAAAAAGTGGCACAGGACCGCAGAAACCGCAAGGTTCTATCTCGAGAGATAACTGAGATATCACGCAAAAGCATCGAAAACTGGACACACTGTACATATGATTAATATTATTGATTTTACATGGATAACACTTATTTATTATTCACTTACTGTGTAGTGTGTTGATGAAAGTAACTAAAATATTTGTCAACCAAAGAAGGGAAGATTTGTATTTCGTGCAAAATAATTTATTCAATATTTGTAGCAAAGCGCTTTCGACTGTTAAGTCATCATCAGTGCGTACTCGTCAGGTTAACAGGAAAATTCGTCCACAAAAATATCTTTAGTCCAGTTTGAAACAAACGACATTAAGGTAAAATACGTTACAAACAAATTAAAATGTATTTCCCAAAAGGGGGTAAAATATGGATTACATTTTGTTACGCAGCCATTGTCACTCATCAAGTTCACTTCAACACGACATGTCGCAGCGACAATGCCTGCGTAACACAATGTAATCTATATTTTACCCCCTTTTGGGAAACACATCTCAATTTGTTTGTAACGTATTTTACCTTAATGTCGTTTGTTTTAAACTGGACTAAAGATATTTTTGTGGACGAGAACGCACTGATGATGACTTAACAGTCGAAAGCGCTCTGCTACAAATATTGAATAAATTATTTTGCACTAAATACAAATCTTCCCTTCTTTGGTATATATTCACGTGCACACAGCCCAGCAACCCTCACTCACTAAAATATTTGTAGCTCCTGGAAAACCACGAAATGTAACACTAGTAGAAACTATAAGTGATTTGGACACAACGAAAATTCTAAGGTGGGAGATGCCTTGCCACCCTAACGGAGAAATTGCCAATTACACTATTGAGTACAAAGGAGTTTACATGTTGAATAAGCAGAAAATTGATAGCAGAACGAAAACCACAACATCTCGTGAATTTTCAATAACAAATTTGTTGCCGCTGTCACATTACGCTTTGAATGTAACTGCTGTAGGAACAAATGGGAAGAAAGGAGCACCTTTTAACATAACATTCGTCACGAGGGATACAAGTAAGTTTATTTCACTGATTTTTTTGGATTTCTCTTTTCTCTGCAAATAATAATATAAGTATGATTTCAATACAGGGTGTTTCAGAGTCGTAGTGACAAAAGCCTAAGGGAGATTCCTCTCAAGAAAATATGACAGTTCGTTTATAAGTATAAGAAAATAGTTATTTGTTTAACTAGGCACCAAAGTAGTAGATTGACTGCCGAGAATTGCAAAAATTGCAGAAATTGCAAAAATTCCTGAAAATTGCAAAAATTCCTGAGAATTGGAAAAATTCATGAAAATTCAAAAAATTTCAATAATTCCTGAAAATTGCAAAAATTGCAAAAATGCCTGAAAATTGCAGAAATTGCAGAAATAGCAAAAATTGCAAAAATTTCTGAAAATTGCAAAAATTCCTGAAAATTGCAAAAATCGCAAATATTCCTGAAAATTGTAAAAATTGCAAAAATCGCAAAAATTTCTGAAAATTGTAAAAATTCCTGAAAATTGCGAAAATTCCTGAAAATTGCAAAAATCGCAAAAATGCCTGAAAATTGCAAAAATAGCAAAAATTCCTAAAAATTGCAAAAATTGCAGAAATTGCAATGATTCCTCTGAATTGGAAAAGTTCCTGAAAATTGAAAAAATTTCAATAATTCATGAAAATTGCAAAAATCGCAAAAATGCCTGAAAATTGCAGAAATTGCAGAAATTGCCAAAATTGCGAAAATTCCTGAAACTAAGAAAAATTTCTGAAAATTGCAAAAATTCCTGAAAATTGCAGAAATTGCAGAAATAGCAAAAATTGCAAAAATTCCTGAAAATTAGAAAAATTTCTGAAAATTGCAAAAATTCCTGAAAATTGCAAAAATCGCAAATATTTCTGAAAATTGTAAAAATTGCAAAAATCGCAAAAATTTCTGAAAATGGCAAAAATTCCGTAAAAATTGCAAAAATTCCTGAAAATTGCAAATATCGCAAAAATGCCTGAAAATTGCAAAAATAGCAAAAATTGCAAAGATTCCTAAAAATTGCAAAAATTGCAAAAATTCCTGAAAATTGGAAAAATTTCAATAATTCCTGAAAATTGCAAAAATTTCGAAAATTTCTGAAAATTGGAAAAATTCATGAAAAATGCAAAAATTGCAGAAATTCAGAAAAATTCATAAAATTCCTGAATTCCTGAAAATTGCAAAAATCGCAAAAAAGACTGAAATTTGCAAAAATCGCAAAAATGCCTGAAAATCGCAAAAATTCCTGAAAATTGCAAAAATTGCAAAATTCTTGAAAATTAGACATTTCTGAAAATTGCAAAAATCGCAAAAATTCCTGAAAACTGAAAATTGCAACAATCGCAAAAATTCCTGAAAATTGCAAAAATCGCAAAAATGCCTGAACATTGCAAAAATTACAAAAATTCCTGAAAATTGCAATAATTGCAAAAATTCCGGAAAATTGTAATAATTCCTAAAAATTCCTGAAAATTGCAAAAACTGTAAAAATTCCTGAGAATTGCAAAATCGCAAAAATTCCTGAAAATTGCAGAAATTGCAAAAATTCCTACAAATTCCTGAAAATTGCAAAAATCGCAAAAATGCCTGAAAATTGCAAAAATCGCAAAAATTCTTGAAAATTGCAAAGTTTGCAAAAATTCCTGAAAATTGCAGAAATAGCAAAAATTTGCAATTATCAGAATTTCTTCTAGTTTTCAGGAATCCTAGCACTTTTTGCTATTTCTGCAATTTTCAGGCAATTTTTGCGATTTTTGCAATTTTCAGGAATTTTTGCGATTTTTGCAAATTTTACAATTTTCAGGAATATTTGAGATTTTTGCAATTTTCAGGAATTTTTGCAATTTTCAGAAATTTTTACAATTTTCAGGAATTTTTGCAATTTTCAGGAATTTTTGTAATTTCCAGGAATTTTTGCAATTTTTCCAATATCCAGGAATTTTTGCAATTTCTGCAATTTCCAGGATTTTTTGCAATTTCTGCAATTTCCAGGATTTTTTGCAATTTTTGCAATTTTCGGGGATTCTTGCAATTTTCAGGCATTTTTGCGATTTCTGCAATTTTCAGTAATTTTCGCAATTTTTGCAATTTTCGGGAATTTTTGCAATTGTTGCAATTTTCGTGGATTTTTGCAATTTTCAGGAATTTTTGCATTCTTGCAATTTTTTGGGAATTTTTGCAATTTTTGCAATTTTCAGGAATTTTTGCAATTTCTGCAATTTTAAGAAATTTTGCAATTTTCGCAACTTTCAGGAAATTTTGCAATTTTCATGAATTTTTACAATTTTTGCAATTTTTAGGAATTTTTGCAGTATTTACAATTTTCAGAATTTTTTGCGATTTTTGCAATTTTCAGTTCTCGCAATTTTCAGGAATTTTTGCAATTTTTGCAATTTTCAGGAATTTTTGCAATTTTCGCAATTTTTGCGATTTTTGCAATTTTCGCAATTTTCAGGAATTTTTACAATTTTTGCAATTTTCAGGAATTTTCACAATTTTTACAAATTTCAGGAATTTTTGCAATTTCTGCAATTTTCAGAAATTTTTGCAATTTCAGCAATTTTCAAGAATTTTTGCAATTTTCGCAATCTTCAGACATTTTTGCGATTCTTGAAATTTGGAAAAATTGCAAAAATTCCTGAACATTGCAAAAATTCCTGAAAATTGCAAAAATTCCTGAAAATTGCAGAAATTGCAAAAATTGCTAACAATTGCAGAAATGTCAAAAATTCTGGGAAAAATGTTGAAATTTCTAAAAATTCCTGAAAATTGCAAAAATCGCAAAAATGCCTGAAAAATTGCAGAAATTGCAAATATTCCTGAAAATTGCAAAAATTACGAAAATTCCAGAAAATTGCAAAAATCGCAGAAATTCCTGAAAATTGCAAAATTTGCAAAATTTCCTGAAAATTGTAAAAATCGCAAAAATTCCTGAAGATTGTAAAAATTGCAAAAATCCCAAAAATTCCTGTAAATTGCAAAACTTGCAAAAATTCCTGAAAATTACAAAAATTGCAAAAATTCCTGAAAATTGCAAAAATCGCAAAAATTCCTGAAAATTGAAAAAATCGCAAAAATTCCTGAGAATTGCAAAATTTGCAAAAATTCCTGGAAATTGCAAAAATTGCTAAAATTCCGTGAAAATTGCAGAAATAGCAAAAATTGCTGAAATTCCTGAAAATTGCAAAAATCGCAAAAATTCCTGAAAATGCAAAATTTGCAAAAATTCCTGAAAATTGCAAAAATTTTTGCAATTTCTGCAATTTCCAAGAATTTTTGCAATTTTCGCAATCTTCAGACATTTTTGCGATTCTTGAAACTTGCAAAAATGCCTGAAAATTGCAAAAATTGCAAAAATTCCTGAAAATTGCAAAAATTGCACAAATCTCGAAAATTCCTCAGAAATAAATAGCTTCATATAGAGTTTTCATAATTTTGTCGTGAAGTGATACAGAATGATTATTTTCAGTACCGGAGGCCCCAGTTGTGAGCATAGACCAGCAAAGTTCATCCGGTTTCTTGATACATTGGAAATTGAACCCCAACCAATTGGGAAACATTACAAAATTCCGCGTGAACATAACCTCGCAGGGACCAGAATTCTCTCAGAACCCGAATTGCACCCGAAATCCCACGGGACTAATCGTCAACGAATTGGAAAGAGACAGTATGAGTTATCTTTACCAAGAAGGACTTCCATATCACAATTATACGGTGTCGGTGGCTGCCATTTCTTCCAGAAGCGTGGGACATGCAAGAGTCATGTCGGTACTAACGAATAGTTCGGGTGAGTAGTGGAAAACTGATCCACTTTTGAAGTGAGAAAAGTTCGTTGATTTTCTTACAGGCCCAACTCTAGATTGGGTCAACGTATTTTTGATTTTTTACGAGATCCTGAATATTCTCAAATGTTGAAATTTCTGGCTTCCATGATGAACTTGTTATTCAATATTTCAATTGAAATCAATTCAAACTGAATTCAAAGTTATCTAGTTAGCTACCAACAAAAAACGAAGAAAAAGTAGTCCATTTTCAATGAAACCTTTTGTTTTTAATTTTTTAAAATCTCATGTACAGTGTCATTCCGTATATTTGAACATCTTCTACAGGTACTGTTTGTAGGTTAATCGAGGAGGTGGTACGATCATTATTCCAATATTTTTGGGATTTTCTCTCATCGTTTCTATAAAAATATGAATATTATTTCAATATACGTGTAGTAAGGACAAATCAGATGATTTGCCCCAAAATGTCACTGCGTTCAAAAATTCTTCCTATCAGAGAACCTTAAAGAAAAATGCACTTGCTTGTCAGTGACAATTTGTATTGAAAGAAGTTTGGAGAACAGAAATAAAGGTATATAGAAAAAATATCAAGTTTTCACTTATCTTTGGACGTTTCGGGACCGAATCTGCTCCCGTTTTCAACATAAAATAGCAAAGTGAAAATTTGATATTCATCCTATATGTATATACCTTTATCTCTCTTCTTCAAACTTTTTTCAATACAAATTGTCAATGACAAGCTAGTGAATTTTTCTTTTAGGCTCTCTGATAGGAAAATTCTTTAAACGCAGTGACATTTTGGGGCAAATCATCTGATTTGTCCTCGAGGTTCAACATTTTTTAGTTACAATATGTGGTTTCACTAAATCGCAATTGCTTTGAAGAATCAACAACACATATGCAAAGAAAATATGACAGAAAGTTTGAATAATGACAACCTGCATAATATGTGTTGTAGATTCTTCATGGCAATTGCGATTTGATGAAATAAAACTATAACTAATTCTAAAATGTTCGACCTTGAATATTTCATATACGGCTCAACAGAACATCAACAACCTATATATTTTTGAAATAAGAAAATATTGATTTATAGGGTGTTCGATTGAAAATAACGAAGTTGATACCCATTTCTTATGTCAGCGATATTCATTTGTTTCACCTCGTACAATTTTTTGGAGGTTCAGAACAAACCCTACACATTATTTGGAGTTTTTCTATTTACAATGATGAACCCTGTATAGAAGCTGTCCAAATATACGAAACGACCCTGTACTGCTGCAAACCGCAAATCAATTTGGAGAAAAATGTAAAATACTCCACAAACGATGAAATTTCAAAAAAATTTTACTTCGATCCCAATATTTTTTCAATGGTGCATCAATACAGGGTGAGACAGTTTAAAGAAGATACCTACTATTTCAAGTTGAAAATCTCATCTATGCGTAGGAGCCTCTATTCTACTACTCTACAAGTGGTGTGATATTTGTATATTTTTGTGTTTTTGAAGTTTTGCGACTGAGTTTCAGTAACAACATCTTATGAAAGCTTTACAATTTACATCATTCCATGTCTTCTAGTCAATTATCAAGAGATGTCAAATAGATTATGTTCATAAAATAAAGTTTTATAACAAATTCATTATTTTTAGGATTTATCTCTTATCCTAAATCCATACAGTTTTCGAAAAACATATAGGAGAGAAAAAAGTAGCCAAATAATAGAGAATCTAAATCAATGTCTCATTGAAAGCAAAAATGACATTTTCATCTTGAAAATATACAGGGTGTCCGCTAAAAGGAGGTCAATCCATTAACCACATATTCCTTGAACAAAAACAATATGAGTTTCTAAATATCATTTTTCATTTTAGCCCTTCATATTCGGTATACAGGGTGTCAAAGTTGGAAATTGAAAACTGTTTTTTTCTAATTACTCGCGTATTTGATAAGATATTAATCTCAAAATTGGTACATTACTTCAGCACAAAGAGTTACATCGTGTGAGGAAAACAAAACAGAAAATAACTGTCAAATATTCAAGATACTGGGGGTCAAGTTCACACTTACCCCCATATTTTGTTTGTACGTGCGCTAATGACTTCCTATCTATTTTCCTTCAAGTGTTCAATCATTTTCGAGTATTTTTTGTTTCCTGTAAAATTTCGATTGAATTATTTGTTTTTAAGATAATTCGAAAAGTGCTGGTTATTGTTTGATGCCTATGCGGCTTAGGTAATCTCATAATGTTCACATACTCCTATTTATTTCGTCGAAATTGAAAGAGGGCGTATCTTTTTACGTACGAAAAGGTGAATATGGAAATACCGGGTGCTCGGAGCAAATGTACTAAAATAATTTTTACAAAAAAAAAAATTTAAAGTGTAAAAATTATTTTAATACATTCGCTCTGAGCACCCGGTATTTCCATATTCACCTTTCCGTACGTAATAAGATACGCCCTCTTCCAATTTCGACGAAATAAATAGGAGTATGTGAACATTATGAGATTACCGTAAGCCGCAAGGCATCAAACAATAACCAGTACTTTTCGAATTATCTTAAAAACAAATAATTTCATCGGAATTTTACCAAAATCAAAAAATACTCAAAAATGATTGAACACATGAAGAAAAATAGATAGGAAGTCATTAGCGCACGTACAAGAAAAATATGGAGGTAAGTGTGTACTTGACCCCCAGTATTTTGAATATTTTACAGTTATTTTCTGTTTTGTTTTCCTCACACGATGTAACTCTTTGTGCTGAAGTAATGTACCGATTTTGAGATTAATATCTTATTAATTACGCGAGTAATTAGAAAAAAACAGTTTTTAATTTTCAACTTTGACACCCTGTATATCGAATAAGAAGGGCTAAAATGAAAAATGGTATTTAGAAACTCATATTATTTTTGTTCAAGGAATATAATATGGTTAATGGATTGACCTCCTTTTAGCGGACACCCTGTATTGTGCTCTACAAGCTGTTGAAGTCCTGCTACAAAAACTGACTTGAATTATATGTATGTGTTTCAGTTCCTGAACCCTCAGAGGATCTTTTTTTCGACATCGACAACACCACAATGTTTGCAAAACTATCTTGGAAACTACCATGTAACATCAACGGACCCATGAGCCATACAAAAGTTCAGATTTCCGGTGCATATACAGAAGACTCCAATGATGTCAGTCACTATGAAAAAAATTTCGATTTCACCAACGAAAAGTGGTATTACGAGTATCCGAACATAACCCTGAGGGACTCCTTCTCTTATAATGCGACGATTACTATCGTTCTTCAAGATGGAACCGAAGGTACAACAGCTACCACCACAGAGAGAACATCAGCTGGCAGTAGGTACACATTTATATACTTTATTTTTTCGGCAACCGTTCGGGAAGTGCTTACTTTCCTGACGCTTTTTCTTTGAGAAAGTAGCATTTTTCCGGACTAGGCCGGGAAGTATCACATCGTTGTTGTCACTGTAACTATGAAAATCTTGGTAGATAAGGTTTTGATAAATGCAGATGATAGTTACCATTCTAATCTACCATAGCAGCGAAATATCGGCTGACAGCTATTTGACATAAAATTAGTTGACATTTGGATTTTTGAAAGTTTGGTTGCAATTATCGCAATAAACTATCGAAAGCAGCTGCGATAGTGAGTTTGAAAATGTCCATACGAAATTTTCAATGTAACAGTTAGTAGGTATAGGTATTCTGTTCAAATTTCAGTATTTGATACAAATGAGAATTGATAAAGAAGACGCAGTCGCAGACTTCCAGGACTCGCCTACGGCTCGGCTTAGAATTTTGTCTACTCGTCCAAAAAAACAGTATTTTGGACTTGTTACGTAATAGATATTTACGATACGAGTATCGTAAAGACTCATATTACGATATGAGATGGGAAAGTTGTCGAACGAGGCCAAAGGCCGAGTTTGATAACCCATCGATTATCGTAATATGAATTTACGATACGAATATAGTACAATATTTTACCTACTACCAAAAACGCTAATTATTTAATCAAAAATGGGCGTATACATACTTGTCATGAATCTATTGTGTTCTCGGTTGTCACTCATTCTTCAAACTGTCAACTTTGACGCGTTCATTTCAATTTGAGAAACATTTATCGAAAAAATTCCGATCACGAATTTATTGATCCATATATATAAATTGCTATATTTAGGATCAATTAGTTCTTATTTCTGTTTTCTTTGACTAAAACAATGGAAATTGAAATTGTGTTTTCACTTTACCGCACTAGATTCTCCCTGAAGAGCTGATTTCATCAATGCATCACACTTGGGGTCTAGCGAAAATGATTACAGAGATATAGGGTGTTCAAAATCGAGATTTTTCTGTGACGAAACTATTCATTATCGGTCAAAACGGCTTTCATGTCCGTATCTTAACTTTTGATTTACTATCTACTGACATTTAATAATTGGAACAAATACAGGGTGATCAGAATTCTGAATCTTGAAACACACTGTATATGTTCCAATTAAATGTGAGTAGATAGTAAATCAAAAGTTGAGACAGGGACATTAAAGCCGTTTTGACCAATAATGAAAAGTTTTGCCACAAAAAAATCCTAAAGTTGAAAAATCACGATTTTGAATACCCTTTATCTCCATAATCATTCCCGCTAGACCCCAAGTGTGATATATTGATGAAATCAGCTCTTCAGGGAGAATCTAAAAATACAATGAAATACAGGGTGTTCCATTTGAAGAAATCAAGTAGTACTCTGTCGATCGTTTGTTCCGAGCACCCTGTATTTTCTGATACAACGGGAAAAAAAATTCTGAAAAATCATTTTAGATGATTTTTCAAATTTTCAAATCGGTTCAAAAATAAGTGAGCTAGAGGGGGGGGACATTCATGGTGAATCACCCTGTACGGTGTCATCCCCAAAGTATGCACCATATGGAAAACTTATATATTAAGGGTTTTTCGACGAAAAGTTATTCTTGATGAAAGTTTGTGCATCCCCTAAAACTGAACATGCACCAACAAAATACAGTAAAACACACGTAATGTACGAGGAGCCTCCAAATATTTGATATTGAGACTCTTATTTTCAAAAATCTCGGGACATGTTATCCAGAAAAGTTGTTCAGCATTAGAAAATACATCTAGTTTTGAAGTCATGGCCATCTAAGTGAAGTTTTATTCTTTTACTATTTTTTTTTAATGAGGACTACGAAAAAAATAATCTGCTAAAACGATAAATAGACAGCATTCTGTATACGACGATTCATCTTGAAAGCCTCTAATATTACGAATCACACAAATGGTGTTAGCCACTGTCAATTTTTCTGAGGGGGAAAATAATTTTCAAATTGTTTGGTGCAAAGTTATTTTTATTTTAAGTTAACACCGAAAATTACTCAAAATTATACAGTTTTGTAACAAGAACTTGATATTCAATAATATCAAATCACAAAACATCGAAATAAAATAGGTATTTCGGAACAAACTCATTGATTTTCTGGAGATTTTCTTGTCCAAAATAATTCTTATATTCGCTTTAAAAACAAAAGCATGTTTCCGAAAGAAGTATTTTACATCTCAATATGATGTCCATCCCGCAACATGCCGTTACACGAACATGCACAGTTCGGTTCTTACACTATCCTTGACAGCACAATTAGTAATTACATTTTTTAAATGTTCTCTATCCCTAAATGGACGATGTTTGTAAACTTCGTTCTTCAATAAGAAGAAATCTATTGGGGTTAAATCTGTGATTTGAAATTATTGAATATTGAGTTCTTGTTAACAAAACTGTATAATTTTGAGTAATTTTCGGTGTTAACAAAAAATTAAAATAGCTTTGCACGAAAACCTTTGAAAATTATTTTACTCCTCAGAAAAATTGACCGTGGTTAACACCATAGTTGTGTGATTTTTAATATTACAGGCTTTTAAAAAAACTGTCGTATACAGGATGCTATCTATTTATAGTTTTAGCTAATTATTTTTTTCGTAGTCCCCATTTAAAAAAAATTGGTAAAAAAATAAAACTTCACTTAGAATACTTAGATGGCCCTGACTTCAAACCTAGATGTATTTTTTAATGCTGAACAACTTTTATAAATAACATTTCTCATGAATTTTGTGTTTTACTGTATTTTGTTGGTGCATGTTCAGTTTTAGGGGATGCACAAACTTTTATCAAGAATAACATTTCGTCGAAAAACCCTTAATAAATAAGTTTTCCATATGGTGCATACTTTGGGGATGACACTGTATAAGACTACACAAAGAAAGTAGCAATGATATTTACTAAATTAAAATGATAACATCAGAAATATTCAACAAACGTCAAAATATCAACAAATGCCATGCCTACCATAAGAAGAAAAATGGAAAGAAAATGCTAGGAGCAATGAACCGCTTTTTAAAATCGATTTTTCATTATAATAAGATAATTTTCTCGTAAAAATAAAATCTTGTATGCACCACGAGCGTTACTAGATCCTAACGCCCATTGGGCAGCACTCACCCCTCGGGCAGAGGCAGAGGCCCTCGGGTGAATGTTACTCTCCGTGCATTAGGATCTATCTGAATTGTGAATTGTGATATTTTAGGAAATAAAGTTCATATGAACATGTGTCCTAACTTGCTTCGTTTTCGAGATACATGGTATTTAATTTCCATGAAAAATCGTTTTTTCATTTATTACTCAATTGTCTTTCCATCAATTTCAATAAAACGTTGTTGTTTTGTTAATAGTAATATGGAGCTTCTTCTGGTGCGATTAGATTCGAAATAATATTTCCAGTGGCGTCACAGTGGGTAAATTTATCGATATTTATGGAGAATGTCATTGTACGCCACGGGTTTTTCTAAGTTTCATATTTTTATCAGATTGAACTATTGAAATAACAACTTTTTTATCCTTTGTGTGATCTTAGAATATATCGGTCTAAATTTTACTGTAGGTTTTTTCAAGACTTCCATTGAGACTACTCAATAACCCCAATCACAATCATTTTGAAATTTTAGAGCTTCCCCAGCCTCCAACCATACTGAATTTTGGCACCATGAAAGCTTATACAGGGAGGTTATAAACAAAAACAATTGATACTTCCAACTTCAACATTCTGTATAGCAAAAACGGAGGAAGTTAGGACACCATGTTCATATGAACTTTATTTGCTACAATATCACAAGGAATTACTCCTCGAAATTTTTCGGTGTTATTTAAATTATTACACTCTTTGTAATTATGCAAAAAGTTATCGATGTATAACCCGAATATTTTGAAGTACTTATTGTTATAAGTAATACACTTATAGTATACTGAATATATCTCAACTAAAATTTGTACAAAATCTAAGTTCCAGGAAAACCCACAAACATCAGGCAAAATTCCGTTTCAAGTTCCTCATTTGCGATGGCATGGGACCCCCCGAAGGAGCATAAAGGAAAGATAATCGGATATGAGGCCAAAGTTAACGCCAGCAGACCTCTATATTACATCCCACCTAATTGCCCACAAAGCATTACCGATTTCAATCGAACACTCGATGGATCCACAACGAATATCGATTTCGATGAAGCAGAAGCTTTTTATAGTTACAGTATTTACGTGAAAGCAAGAACAGAGAGAGGATTTGGAAATTCAGCCATGTATTCCATCAAAACTAATCAATCACGTAAGTTCCAACAACTAACAACTAGGAAGTCTACCTGTAATACACTCAGTTCCAAAAAAAGTGACGCACTTGATATTTGACCTATCTTCTTGAAAAAAAAAATAGTAGGCCGATTTTTATTTTATTTTCATTTGTTGGTAGGTAATGCATTTGTCTTTAAAAATAAAAATAAAGAGGTGAAATTTTTTTCAAAGCCTCCTTGATGGTGGTAGAATAACTCGAACCATGATTTATTCATAATTTTTGACTCACCCTGTGTGTTAATTGAGTAATGGCATAGAAAGTGCTTGCACCCTATACGAAAGAGGCTTCTTTTGCGAGCATTTTGTTCTTTTATTCATTGATTTATCTCTAAAATTTTTCGAATTACAGCTTCTTTGCTGATACCTTACGCTTATCCCTACGGCTCGTAGTTGTTGATAACAATGTCATAAGCGAAATAAGGGCAGCAAGCTGAAGTAGGTATGTCAATCGACGAATATTTCCAGGAAAAATAGTATCACGAGTTGTATTCGTATGATTATTTCCTGATTGAATGAGACAATATACCGGGTGACCCGGAACCAATTTACCCCCCTGTATCTTCGTTGTTATTTTGTATGGATGTTTCAAATTAGGTACTTCGATTTGATGTTATGAATGTACAATTTAGCAAGTATCAATCCAATTATGACACTTCCGGTTTCACCGGAAGCGCATCCAGTTTTTATATTTCAAATGGGAAGTATTTTTTTTTGAAAATTACCATTCGGTATGGAATTACCTTTACAATGACATATCACAATCATACTCTCAATTCACAATCTGCTGGTATAATTGACATTTTATAAAGAAAATACTTTTTGTGTTCCCCTCGTAACGGAACATTTTCATGAAAGTATGCTGTGGAAGATTGAATTATTGTTGCTTACATGATATTGTTCAATCTTCCACAGCATACTTTCATGAAAATGTTCCGTTACGAGGGGAACACAAAAAGTATTTTTTTAAAATGTCAATCATACCAGCAGATTGTGAATTGAAAGTATGATTGTGATATGTCATTGTGAAGGTAATTCTATACCGAATTGTAATTTTCAAAAAAAATAATACTTCCTATTCGAAATATGAAAATTGGATGCGCTTCCGGTCAAACCGGAAGTGACATATTTGGATTGATACTTGCTAAATTGTACATTCATAACATCGAATCGAAGTACCGAATTTGAAACATCCATACAAAATAACAACGAAGATACAGGGGGGTAAATTGGTTCCGGGTCACCCGGTATATGAGAAATAGGAAACATAATTTAAGTATATTCCAACTCAAACTGCGAAGAAGAACATAATGATAGTAATGAAATACAGAATTTACTTTTTTAGAAATTAACTACCTACTTATAGTTCACCAAGTGGAATGTACAATTTTGATAAACAGTATTTTTTTATTATCTTGGAGATGGTTGCTCTAAAAAGAGTGTATACAATTGCTATCCAATTTAAACAAAATAATTTGAATTTATGTGACATGGAATGATTAAAAAAAGATATCGTCGCCGAGGGCTCGAACCATCGACCTTCGTATCCTCGCGCAACAACCCTATCAGTTGCGCTACATCAGCTGATTATTATATCAGTCACAATTAATTGAGTGATTGAAGAAGATTACTTCAAAAAGGAATTTGAATTCTATTATTGTTGTGTCAGACCGTCAACAAATATGCAAACTTTTCAAATTACACATGAAACGTCCAGCCAGAATAAAATTGTCTCGCCTTTCGTACAAAATATCTCACTAACGCGAATTATAAGTAAATAAAATAAAGTAGGAACTTAGGTTATTGTCTCAGATTTGAATCCAAAGCAATCTTGACCAGACACGATGTCAAAATTTTATCGCTGATAAACGAGGTTTGTTGGTCACGTGTGGGTCAATTCGGCTTCTGTATTGGTAGAGCAAGTCCGATAAAATTTAATAAACAAAAAATATCGCTAGAATTCAGAAGAAACCGTGAGGATGGCCGATTCTGATTGGTTCTCGAGATCAAGAGTGGAATAGCCAATCAAATAAGTTCTTCCATATATATTCGATTTTCGAAATCCTGCTAATATAACTAAGCCTAACTTGCCAGGTCAAAAATTGTATACAGGGTGTGCAGAAGAAACGAACAAAATAGTTTGTTGACTGTTGTTTTCAAGTTCCACAGATCGTTGAAGATCTTCACCATGATATAACCTTAGACAAATCGGAGAAGTACAATGGCTCTGTCAACATATCTTTCCGAAGACCTTGCTTTACAAACGGACCCCTCAGAAAATTCGTATTACATTATGTGGGAACCAGAGACTCGACCAAAATCGAAAATTCACAAGTACAGGAAATACAAGACACTGAAACTGCAGACCTTTACGCATTCGAGTTTGCGCTGGAACCAGAGACCGAATACACATACAGTGTGTCTGTCGACAATGATTTCTACTCGATGCCTACAAATGGACATTTCAAATCACCTTCCGGAGGTAAGTTTTACATTACAGTAATTCACAAATCCTAGTCGAAAGCAGTAGCTACAGTTTATGCAAAGTCAGTTGAACAGATCAACAAACGAATGTCGGGCCGCGCTGTCGCACTCTTTGAACTTTCAAAGGGACCGACGGCTTGCGGTGATGTGTTTTTCCAACTGACTTTGCATAATAATAATAATAATAATAAATAAATTTTATTTCAAGGAATACTACAATATAGAAACGTGATCACATAAAGTAGGATTAAATGAAACAATAGTCAACAAAAGAATATGATAGTCACTTGTGAGATCTACAAATATTTCTGAGATTATTTGATTCGAAAGTTCATGAACTCTGTCTCATCATATGGTTCGATGTTAACCAACAACTTAAAAATTGTTTTCTTGAATTTTGCTAATGATTTTATCGATTTGATGTCACTAGAGAGTTTGTTATAAAATCTTATACAAGAGTATAATGCACTGGACTCAGTTAATCGCAATCTGTGTGCTGGATATGTGTAGTTAGAGTGTCTGGTATCATGTTCTGTCTGAGATTCCATATTTGTAAATAATCGTTTATTTTTGAAAATGAATAATAGGCACTCTTGAATGAACATCGCATAAAAGGTGAGTAGTTTATTTTTTCTGAATAAACCTCTGCATGAATCTCCAGGTTTCAAGTTCCAGAGAATTCTGAGAATTCTCTTCTGGATTATGAAGATCCCGTTTGCGGCCCTGCTACTTCCATAGAATATGATACCATACCTCATGATTGACTCTACGTTTGCATGGTAAACCATCTTAAGTGTATGGTACTTGACATATTTAGCAATAATTCTTAAACTATATCCAGACGAGTTCAATTTTCCACTGATATTATTGATGTGATTCATCCAACTCAATTTGGTATCAATATGCATTCCTAGGAATTTCACATATTCTGACATGCTCACATTTTGATTATCAATTTCAATATGTGTTGGAATATCAGATCTGGGATGATTGGTTGTGAGAAACAAAAAATCAGTTTTGCTTTTATTCAGAATTTGTTTGTTCATTGTAAACCACTCATTTGTTACTTTGAGAATATTATTAACATTAATTACCAAATCCGGAAACAGTTCACCACGGACCAATAAGTTTGTGTCATCTGCATAGTTGGTGAGACAACATTTGCTCTGATCAAGATTTTCTATCAGGTCGTTGATGTAGATTATAAAAAGTAGAGGGCCTATAATACTGCCTTGTGGAACACCAGTGTTCGAGATTTCATTAATATCTGATTTGACTGTTTTGTTGTCTTTTCTAATAACTACTCTTTGCTTTCTCTCCAACAAATATGACCTAAACCAACTAAGCGCAGGTCCTCTGACTCCATATTTGTCCAATTTGTATAGTAGTATATCATGATGTAGGCAGTCATACGCCTTGGACAAGTCTAAAAAAGTTCCTAGGACAAGTTCTTTATTTTCGAGTGCTTCTATAGAATTCTGCACGAATTCAAAAATTGCAGTTTGTGTAGATTTTCCCTTTTGGTAGCCGTGTTGATGGCATGAACTTTAACAAGTATAGTGTATAGTGTGGTGTGTGCTCTATTTTCTCCTCTTTTTGCTATGCGTCCTAGGACTCCTCAATAATTATAGATGTTATTCTAATTCTATTCTCCTCAGAAATGTTAGGGTATGGGATGGTTTCAAAGAGGGTAGACCTTCTATTTCATATGTTCTCAGACATTGAGGATGTGTATGGAATTTTCGTCTCCTTCCTCACTATATGCACTCTACTTCCTCTACTAACCAGAGTTTCGTCAGATCGCAGAATCTGCACTCTGCTTTCTCTGCTACCCGGAGTTTCTTCAGATGTCCTCTACAGATAGTATTCGGACCTTTTATTTATTCTTAGGTTGATGATAATGATAATAAAAATATTAATAATACTTTATTTTCTTTGTGATATGCAGAAACTTGTATTGAATTTGTCAAAGACGATTACTAAAGCTAAAACTAACTAACTAAAATAGAACTTAAACTAAGACTTCAAAATTCATCTGAGGAGTATAATCCACCTTTTATTAGGTATTTCCTATGACATTGATTGAATGTTTTGAATGTAACACATATGATTTAATGTCGGCCGGAAGTTTATTGAACAGCCTTTGTCCAGTCACAGTAGGTGATATGAAAGATTAGGTTCTTGAAAATGGCACATGTAGGTCATTTTGCTGTCTTGTGTTGATAGAATGAATTTATTTGTTAATTCTGAAAGGTTATGTTAGAAAATATAAAAACACACTTCAAAGATATAAAAACACGGTTAAGTTTAAATTTCATAAGATTTAAAAAACCTTCGACAACTAGTGGTACGAGAGACACTAGCGATACAACGAATTAATTTTTTCTGCGAGATGAAGACATCATTGAAACAAGTAGATGATCCCCAAAAGCATATTCCGTATCTTAGTCGGGTCGGTAGATCTTTTCTGGTTGTGGGATACCACGAGTGTCTTCGCTTGTCTCATACCTTGTAGATCCTGCCAGTATTTTGGCTCTCTTAAGAAACATTTCTTCATTTAATTTCCCAACAATTGTAGTTTTACTGAACCCATAGAAGGGTTCGAGTCCCATAAATAGTGATTAATCTTCTTCTGCGCAAGGCTATCGGCTATTTCATTCCCCTCCAGTCCGGTATGCTCCGGAACCCATGGAAGGAGCTATGGAGGTTTCGTCCTCTTCCTCACAGTGCTTTCCCTGCTACCCGGAGTTTCTAAAGTCCTGATAGGACTCCAGTTAGTAATCGGATCTTATTTTTACTTTGATGCATTCGGTAGACCTTTTCTGGTTGTGGATTCCCAGGTGTGTCTTCACTTGTCTCATACAAGCAATAACCTTCCTTGGGAAAATCACGTCAGATCAATTGCTAAAAGTGCATCCCAAAAACTTGGTTTTCTGTTTCGGGCCAGGAGCTATTTCACTTCCAGTCAGCTGCTCATGAACTATAAGGCACAGATCCGACGTGTCCTGGAATACTGTTTCCATATTTGGTGTGCAGCACCGAAACATACCCTGAAACTGTTGGATTCTGTCCAAAAAGGCCAATTCGTCTCGTGGGTGATGCATCGCTCACAAACTCACTCACCTCTCTGGAACACCGTAGAAAGGTTGGCGATCTGGCTCTATTTTATAGATATTTTCATGGACGATGCATGTCCCCGCGAGATTAACTCGTCGAGTTGAGGCTTCGCACCCCTTCGTGGTCACTTTGGAGACCTGCAGAACATCTCTTTTCATAGACTCGTTCATCCAACGAATCTATCTGCTATTTCATTATCCTGCAATCCGTTATGCCCCGGAAGCCGGAGAAAGGTGACCTTATTTTTTGTTGTACCTAGATCGTTCCTAGACAGACTATCTTAGAGTTGCTTCACTAGGAGACATGATAATTTGTCTACGGTAGTTGTTCTCAATATTGAGCTAGACACATTTTCCAATAACATATATTCTTCCGCCTGACAGATACTTGGGGATTTGGCCAAGCTCTCTGAGTATAGGGTTACCACAAGGATCAACTTTGGGGGCGCTCTCATTCACAATCAATATTTTCAGTTCCGATATTCTCCCTTCCATCTGACTACCTGCCAGTTCTGAACGTCGGAACAGAAAACGCCGAGATAGTGCTGCAAAGGAACCTCTTGAACCACACCAATGGTAACGTCAAATATGTGTCTCTGATAGTCGGCACCAAGAACTCCAGCGGCGGAGAGATTCAGGTTTGGGACGGTGAACATTGGCCCACGCTTAATGGCACCGAATTTTTACAGATCACCCCTAATCGATGGAATCCTTTCAACGGTAAGCACGATCTTTGAGAGCTAAATAATGTGTTTTTTCCACCACTTGCTAGAAAACCTAGCATTATTTTCTACTTCTGGAAGCGTAAAGTGTGATTTTAATACCAAGGTAGTTCTTGTCATTTTATAAACCACTAGTCAATAAAGACATAGCCACCTCAGTTGTAATTAACCTCAATTCACTGTTCTGAGCGAGATAGCGAAAATTGCATTCGAATATTCACCATATTCCCTGCTATTAACAAATGTTGTTTCTTGGGAATAACAAAGTCAATTGTCAATACTGAGTAATTCTTCGCATTCTTATGTTGATCACCCTGTACGACTATGATGAATAACTGAGTTTTTCAATGTGTTCAACTTTCAGAAGCTACCATGGACACTGTCACTTTCCTGATCGGGAACGAGACAAGTTGCATTTCTGCTGATTATTGCAACAAACCTTTAGAACCTAATAAGGAATACTACTTGATCGTCAGAATATTCACCAACAATTTCTACAGGAATAGTCAAGTTTTCAGATTCCAAACAGGTACCTACTTATGGAAATTATACCTATCAAGTTTTGTTTTGTTCATGAAATTCTATAAATTTCTATAATTTTTGTTCAATATTACAGAAGAAGTCAATAAAATTGGATTTATTGTTGGAATTCTATCTGGAATATTGGGAGTCGCTATTATAGGCATAGCTGCATTCTTCTTATGGAGAAAAGGTTTCATTCACAAGTGAGTAAAAACATCTATATTTGTTTTGAGAATTGATTGAAAAATTTGTTTCTTCAAGTAAAATTGAGAGGTTCTTGGGAAGAACATCAGCAGCAAAATCGTCAGAAACAAAATCGGCGTCAATATCATGTGGAAAATTCATCCAGTATTGCATACATTTGGAGAATAACCCGGAAAAATTGAAAGAGCAATACAATTTGATAACGGAGAATGGCAAAGAAATAGTAGCAGAAAAAAGTAAAGAATTTGCAAATTTACCGGAGAATAAAAGGAAAAATAGATATATCAACATCTTACCATGTAAGACAAAATAATTAAAAAAAAAAACAGATTCGAATGACTGCACTACATTTTTCAGTTGATGACACAAGAGTTAAACTCCTCATAGATGAAGACGATGAAATAGGATCTGATTACATCAATGCATCATACATCAAAGTAAGAAACATGTCGTCGACGAAACCGAAAAACCAAGTAACTGCAGAAATCAAAATTTTCAGGAGACACTAAAGACCTTATAACTTCGGGTTAACTGATCAGATTCAATGAAAATTAGTAACAAACCACCTGATCATTATTATCCTTACGTTTGTACATTGATCATTGAAAAAAATCATTGTTTACGTTTGTCAGCGTAAGATACTTGGTTTTGACATCTGCTTCTGTGCGAAAGCAACAACAATTATTCAGGAAAGTGATTCGCAAAAACACGTAACTTCATTTTTCTGGACTTTCCACTTAGCAAATACTTGAGATAAATTCTCACATCCTGTGTTGAAATACCAATTGAAGTTGAGAATGAACTGTTTCACATATCTGTTCTATAAAAAGTCACTCACCAATCAGCAGAGATTGATCTCTATGAAAAGAAATTGAACACAAAATATCAGAGGCGTGAATCACGTTGCCAACTGTTAGATACTTGTTTTTGACGACCACTTTTATTTTGTTTTCCAGATACAGGGTTTTGTATTCATGAATTTCAAAATATTTATAATTTTTTACCAGTTGTGAGGTTTTGATTGTGAAGTGTGACCAATTTGGCTCACCCTGTACATACATACATACATTGCATTTAAATATCATCATAAAAGTAATCAAATTCGGCCATAAAAAAATTGGCAAGTCGGCTGACTCGTAAAATAGGTATGACAGAAATTCGGTAGTCAATCAAAGAATCGGATGATTTTCGTTGTTCATCGTTTGTATATATCCGTTATGATAATTATTAATGAAATATTCCTATTCGAAAGTTAACCGCAAATAAATACCGTACACACATATTATTTCAAGAAAGGTGTAGTAGCTCAGTTCGAACAAGTTCGATTTGTACCAAGTGATAGCGGAGGACCAGGGTTCGAATCCCGTGGCGGTCGTCATTTTTTTTTTATTTGAATGTATCGGCAGACATGTACTGGCCCTGATGACGGCCAGAGTCTCCTATAAGGCCGACCAAAATTGTTTGCTGGGTTCATTTTATATTGCCGTGTGTTCATCAACATTTCATTGGCTCAATGTAAGGGATCATGATGAATGAAATACGTCCTCTTCCTCAGTGTGATTTATTTTTAGTCGCCATCTTGTTCATTATGTACATACAAATTTTTTAGGGGTATTCTGGGCAAGTGGAGTACATAGCCACCCAAGGACCTTTGGAAACCACCTGTAGGGATTTTTGGAAAATGGTTATCCAAGAGAACGTCAGTATTATCGTGATGGTAGCACAATTCACAGAAAATGATAAAGTATAACAACAACTTCTCAATCATAACAAAGAAAGTTTCTAAACCATTTTTTTGCAGATAAAGTGCCATAAGTATTTTCCAAAGAATCATGAAAATCTGACAATAGCGGACGATATGGAAGTTAGGTGTGCTACTGAACTACACTTTGGTACATATTGCGTGAGAAATCTTCAGATAAGGAGGGTGGGTTGTTCAAATTTCAGAATATCAAATGGAATATCATTAACATAATTATGTAAAGAACGGATTACTGTCAAACCCCAGAGGAATTTGCTCTGCCATGTTTTAACCGATTTAAAAAAAATTTAAAAGAAATAGTGATTACTTCCTCTTCAAAAACTTCAATTTTAGTAGATAAAGTAATGGATGTTCGATCATTTTCAATTTTGTTGAAAATACGTATAACCATCAACTGAGCCGGAATTCATGATTATTTTCATTTTTAATAGTAAGTAATTTATTCAAAATCATGAAACATGCCTATGAAAGATTTTATTTTATACAAGGTCAAATATTTCTATATCTCTGTAATCATTCTCGCTAGACCCCAAGTGTGGTGCATTAATGAAATCAGCTTACAGAGGAGAATCCGAAAATTCAATTAAATATAGGGTGTCCCATAAGAAAAAGTATAACTTTGATTCGTCACGCATTTTTGAGTCACCCTGGATGACGCGAAATATTTGGAAATGTGCTGTATAATTCAATATTCTCTGGTATAAGCTCTGAGGTATTAGCCAGGAAAGTAGTTGTTTTTTGTCAGATATTTCTGGTTTATTTTGACAAGTTGGCAACTTTGGAATAAGAAGAAATGGAATTTAAAAATGTTTGCAAAATCTGCTAATAACAGCCTAACGGATATGTTGTCATGTACTTTTCAGGATACCAGTCAAGTCACAGTCACCCACATGCAATTTTTGGAATGGCCCGATTTTGGAGTACCAAACGGTACTGAAAATATGCTGCAGTTCTGCTATCAGCTGAGAGAAAGATTTAAAATTGAAGGTGGAATGATGTTAGTGCACTGCAGGTGAGTTTCAATCATTTTATTTAAAAGAATGTATAGTGTATAGATTATAAAAAATAGGTCTAATAAGACATCAAAAAGATGCCAATATAATACTGAAAACAGTGGATGCAGTCTTTTCAGGAAATCAAAATAACCCAATACAAAATAGCTATCAGTTGTACCTTCTTGTTAGTTTGGCAATAATCTGTCATTTGAATTACTGTCAATGATACCATGACATTTTAACAAAGTAACAATGGAATTGCTTACTGAGCATATAAAATTTGAAATAGAATAGGTAAAAAGATGTTGATCACAATAGAATTCACAAAAGTATTTGTATTTTCCAGTATCATCAAAAGTTAGTTATAAACTAGGTTATGAATGATAGGATAGATTGTTGCCGACCTAAGAACGCTCAAAAAGATGCAACAGATAATTATTGCATATGGTCGCAATCTCGCAATTACCTAATTTTGTTTCCCTTTGGTTGGCACTTTGACAGCTAAAATTACTACACTAGATGAGGTACCATATAACTAAATCGACTTACTAAAAAAACTTGGATCAGGCGAGCATATCATGTTCCAGAATAATACTAATAAAATAATTTCTTTCTCACAGCGCTGGGGTTGGTAGGACTGGTACTCTTATAGCCACCGACATTCTTCTACAGACAGTCAATGCTAGAAGAGAAATAGATATTTTCAAAACCGTTATGGAACTGAGAAAACAGAGGATTTACATGGTTCAAACTGAGGTCAGTTAATTACATATAAGCCAAAATAACTTATATTTAAAAATGTTTGTTTCCACAAACACAAAAATTTAGTGAGGAGATTGAAAATTGTTGGTATGAGCCAGGCAATAATTTGATTTCTCTCAGGAGTATAATGTTGGACATTCCAAATATGAGATATTTTTTGGAAACTGTATAATCATATAAACATACAGGGTGATTCACATAACAACCGACATAGGGCAGGGGCATGTAGGGGGTCCCAAAATATGGCAATTTAACGCAACTTACCTCTATACCAAGTTGCTTCCCTAAGGAGTTATAGGCATAACACTAACAGCATGTCAACTTGCTCGTTAAAAGAAAACTTCCCGTTCATTTTAGAAACACTCAAACAACAATTACTTAATTGAACAACTCACTTGCCTCATTGACGTTTATTTTCATAGCCAACTTTTGAATTTTCGATGATTTTAAATAACACACCTAGAGCGCGCGTTTTCAGTAATTCAAGTTTTTGATGAAAATGATGAGGTTTTTCGAAAAATTACTGGAGTAAGAAAAGTTTTAGAATTGAATTGCCCACAAAACAAAGCAAAGATTTTTGAAATCCATCAAGTGTTGACAAAATTATGTTGAATATTAATGGTGCACCACCCGGTATACCCCCTTTACAAATTTCAATTAAACTCATGTTTATGGCAAGTAACGCCCTAAATACATCCACAATGTGTACCAAATTTGGTTGCTTTAAGTTCAAGAATAACGGAGATATTGATTTTTTTCAAAATTTATAACTTCACTTTCAAAGCCTATATCTCCTTTGGAAAGCAACTTGGTATAGAGGTAAGTTACGTTAATTTGCCATATTTTGGGACCCTCTACATGTCCCTGCTCTATGTCGGTTCTTATGTGAATCACCCTGTCATCAACTTTTTCTCAATTTTCCAATCTACATATTTCTTTCTATGCCAGAAAAGACACACTTCATCAAAAATAAAATGAATTACAAGTCAGTGGATTTGTATGTGCTTGGGCTTTTGTGGGAAAACATCCTTATCCCTGGCATAGATTGAGAGTTAAAATTGTTTTCCCAGTTTTTAATGACGTCATCTAATGACCTGAGCGACCTGAATACTAAATAAAATGTGTACCTATTTACAGAAACAATATATTTATCTCCATACCCTGTTGAAAGATCATTTGGACAGACCTCCATCTCCTGGTGAGTTAAAAAAAACAACAAATAGCAATCTATTTACAAGAATATTTGATTCTAGACCTACTTGAGAATGGAGATCCTGTATATGAAAACATGGATATAATAAATCAATCAGAAAATGAAGAATGCAAATGGAATGAACAAGAGAGTGAATTCTGATTACCCAGCCAGAAACAGCCCTAACTTCGTTATCCTGAAACTGCATGATGGATGGCTGATAAAATGTGATATTTTATGTTTTGAAAATATTTTCAGTTGTACTTAAAATAAGTTAGGTATTAAAGAATATTGACTGAAGTAATCTGATAATAAGTGAAGAAAGATAAATAAAACTTTCAACAAAACATTCCTTCTGTTTCAAATATGAGAAAAATGTAAATATTTGTAGTAACTATGATTTCACTTTTTTGAATAATAAGCTCAACATAATATTATGTTTTGAAATATTTTCAACTACTGACTGTTCAATTCATAATATATTTATATGTATGATAATGATAATGTGCAATATTTTTAAATGAAATATAATTTCAAAAATGACAATTTGTATTTGGAAATCACAATGGCCTCAGTTGACCAGAATGAAAATAAGACAGGTTATGACATGGAATTTGGGGCAATATCATATTCAATGACAATTTCAAATAGACTTCAGGAAATAAATGAATTAAATGTTTTATCTTTCAAACCATATAAATGGGAGAAATATAAGGAAAATCTCATCACTTGAATTACATTATGTCAATTTTCATAGATTTATGATTCACATACCTTTTTCATTGTTGCATAATAATATTATGAGGATGACTCCCATGTGGCATGAATCCCATATTGTGGTGCCCTACAGGGTGATGAATTTGATGTGGATGATGGGGCATTCTGTGATTCATCATCATACTATGCTGCAATTGCATCTGCTCCATCCTAGGGTCCATCATATGGTTTTCATAATGATGTGGATTTGGAACTACAATGAATTATTTGAATAAGCAACATTAACTGTAGTCAAGCATTTATTTCTTGATTTATTCAAACTTCTGATTTCCCTAATAGACCAGGAGATGGTGATAGTTAGTTGACAATTTGGTGATAGTTATAGCGAATTCCATTGGTAAAACTGGATCGCACTAAGTGCATATTTTGTATTCCATTGGTTAAACTGGTGTTGGGTTTTGAATTTCATTGGAAAACTGGTTCACATAGTTTAGAGCTCAGTGCAACAATTCTCGCACGAGCTCTAATAGGTCTTGCGAAGTAGGTGCAGTTTTGAAAATGGCGGAAACATTGAATATGCATAGTTTGAAAACCAAAATTAAGTGGCAATCGAATCATCATCATCAAGTAGTGATAAAAAATTTGAGGTTTCAAGAAATAAAGGAGACTACTTCCCATAATCCATAATTTTGTTGAGTGTTTTGCACTAAAATTCAATGATGAAGAGGTTCTTATTGAAAAATAACTGCTCAGAATCATTTCCATGAAACATCTACTACGTTTTTAATTGAAGTCGAGAAAGAATTTCAGGATACGGACAAGTTATAAACAAGGACAAACCAATTTATCCGATTTAACCTCCAACAATAACATTTTATTATATTATTTCGTATTCCATTGGGAATGCACCAGTTCACATTTTGGAGAGAACTAACGTAGTGCGGGTGCAAAACTGGTGCAAAACCAGTGCACCACCAGGTTTACGAATGGAATTCGCTATTAGTTAACAATTTATTTCATTCTTTGCTATAAACATAACATTGCATCTCATATAAATATAATCATTAACATTTACAATGCAATAACATGAATAATCAGACAGATTCATATCTGGTATGAGATTATTCATGTGTTATCAAATTAAATTATAGTTATTGAAATAAACAACAGAATAAGAAAAAATAATGAAACAAAAAGCTCATGAAAAGTACATTATGACATGATGAAATAAATTAGTCAATGAGAAATCATTCACTCAGGTTTGATTTTCTCTTTGCAAGAGGATATGTTTCTTGACTTTGATTTTGAATTGGGTGATATTTGTGCAACTTTTGATATCATCAGGTAATTTATTGAATTTTGAGATAGCTCCCTGAGTGAACTTTTTTTGACCAAGTGTAGAATGAGCAGCATCAAGATGAAACAAGTCATATTGTCTAGTATGATGTTCATGGATTTGAGAATTCCTTACCAATATGAAGTTAGATTTGAGGTGTTTGTTGATTATATCAAAAGAAATTTTGAGAGTATTTATCAGATAGTGCTCTTCCAAAGAAAATGTATTTGTTTCTTCATAAAGTTGATTTGATGGGGTGTCATATGGAAGACAATACAGTACTTTTAATGCTTTTTTATCTAGTACAGATATTTTGTTGAAATTATTCTTGGGACATGAACCCCAAATATTTATGAGATAATTCATTTTACTAAGGATGTGAGAGTATAGAATGGTATTTGCTATATTTGGGAGAAGTTTTGGACATCTTCTTAAGGCACCTATGCAACTATGGGGGAATTTTTTTCTTTGAGCATGCCAATATGCTTGTTCCATGTTAACTTTTCATCAATCCAAATACCAAGGTATTTGTTATAGGCAGTTTGTTTCAATCTTTCATTTTTTATTCTAATATTCAAATCAATATTTTATGGTGACAGGTAACATTTTCCTTTTTTACACAGCATGCCTTATTGAGGCTTTATAATGAACCCCAACATTTGACAAATAGATGGGTTCCTGGCCACAGCAAATGTATGATGAATGTCAATTTATCATACACCCAAAAGGCTCTTCTATTGTTCATATTTTGGGATTAATTATGAAGCCTTACAAAGGCATGCAGTGTAAAATGAAAGAATGTTACTTGTCATCATCTGCTGGTCTATAAAGTAACTTTCAATCATTTGTACTCTTTGAATTTTCAAATTTTCATTACCTCTGTGGGTTTGGTTGTGCATATACATTTGATTTTGATGCACATTCAAGTTGTTCTGTGATTGCTGCTGTATATTTGGCTGTATATGAAGAGGTACTGGAGGTTGTGGTAGCTGCTTTGGCATTTCTTGAGGAATGTTTTGGTCTGTATTATGTTTTATATCAGTGTGATTCCTCTTGGGTAGTGGTTTATTCTCTTTCTTGGCTTCAATTTTTATTTTCTCTACAAGTATTGATTTGTTTCCATTCTTCTCCTTTTCATAAATGAAACCCATGTCAAACAATAGTCTCCTTAGAGTCATCAAAGAGAAATTGGGTAGTTCATCATTTGCATTGACATTCTTCAAGATGACACTCAAGCTAGGTATGATATTTTGGCTCTTCAAATCTGAGATGATATGTCTCAGACTCAGCCTTACATTCTCATCATACTTGTTGAATCTACTGTTTATATTTATGTTCTTGCGTATTTTTTTCTTGGAAGGTTCCCGGAAGCCTTCTGCACTGGCTTCTTCTTTTCGAAATTGAAAAACACTCTTTTCACTACATCCAGTAGCTTTTGCAGTCCGACGGACTATTTCAGTTACACATTTTTCAGGATACGCGCTTTTCAGGTACTTGAATACATTAAGGATTATAGTTTTTTCTTTGCAGGAGTAGGACATTCCTTGTTTCATTTTTTTGACTTCCTGACATCTCTCTTGAGCCATTTTGTATTTTTGTTGTATTTTGACATTACAGCTTTGAAAATAATTCCATAAAGCACTGGAGATATTTAAATTTGAAATTACAATAATATATTACATACGATCACAAGACCAAGCTGAACAGCAAAATGAACAGTGAGTCAGTGAACAAAATAAATTGAATAAAAAATCCGCATGTTAGCTAACTGCACACTGACATAACCACACTTTCTTTTGTTTTGAAATCAAAAATCGTGTCTCGCTGACCTAAGCATGGTTGCCATTGAGTTGCCATGTTCGGGGTTTTGTCGCTAAATCTAGTTTTTGGGGTAGGTGAATGCCAAGTTTATAATCAAAGAATAGTAGGTTAGTCACCCTCCTCTTTGTTATAATTCTTGGATGAATTTAGTTCTGTGGGTGAATGCCACGTTTCAACCAGATTTGCGACGTGTCGAAATTCTAGCGTTTTCAACACAGTCATATTATAGCAGCATGGTGGAATATTATTCTGATCATATGAATTGGTGACGATGGAAATGAAATGAATAATTCACATTAAAACATTCGAGACGAAGAGATAAGCAGAGAAAAGAATGACAGGGTTTGATTTACTGATTTCACCATTTTCGCTCGCTATAGCGACTTCTGGAGGTTTTTTCGACATTTTATGTTCTGCAGCTGGCAACACTGAACCGAAGTTGAAATTGAAAATTGTACATAAACATAACATCATAAACAAACTACACTAAACCAGAGCCGGCTGAGCTGGCATGAACCGATCTTGATTAGTCAATATCTTGATTAGGTACTTAATAAGCTTTTTTGTACAAAAAAAGATAATTCACTTTTCACTAGCTGTGTATTCATTATTCCATAAATAGACAAATTCAAACATTCATAATACCTATATTCTAAATTACAAAACAATCATAAATGTTTCTTGCTGGAATCAACTTGAGTATTATTGAATTTCTCTTCAATTTTATTACTTTCTTCTTCCAAGATTTGTAGCCTTAGTCGTGCTTCCCGAAGAATTTCTTCTGTCACACTTGTTGAACTATCACTATCAATGGTATTATTGGCCAAACTAGCTGAAATGAATCAAATATAACACTAGAAATAAAACTTCCAAAAAAATCTCCATACCTTTAGGTACTTTAGAATCTTCTAATACAGTTTGTTTCAAAATAATTCTAGAGTGTGTATCACCACTATTTGCTTTTGCCTTGAGATAGCTTACTTTCCTCTGGCTATTTAAAAAATCATGCAAGAGTTCCTTATATTTTTCTGATAAGTGGAATATTTCTTCTGACTGTATAGCATTTTTCCTGGATAACTCCAAATTGTTTACCCGAAGTTCATCAAGAAGATTAATGTTTTTCTCACACTTATCACTACAATGTTGAATGGAACACACATTTGTCACTTTTTGAATTAATTGTTCCTTATATCTTCTCAACAGACAATATAATTCTTCAGACTCTCTTTCACATCTTCTGGATAACTCTCGATTTTTTTCTTGGAGTTCATCAACAAGGTTCATATGTTTCCTACACTCATTGCTACAATGCTGATTGGAGCATATGGGACTACTTCTTTGTATAATTTGTTCATTGTATTTTTCCAAGAGATGCCTTATCTCTTCTGATTGTATTTCACTATTCCTTGATAATTCTCGATTTTTTTCTGTTAGTTCATCAACAAGGATCATGTTTTTCTCACACTTATTAGTACAATGTTGACTTGGACAGGCAGGTGCAAATTTTTCTAAAATCTTTTCACTATATTTTTTCAAGAGGTGACAAACTTCTTCTGACTGTGTTTCACTTTTGACAGACAATTCCTGAGTTCTTTCTTTTAGTTCATTGAGAAGGACCATGTTCTTCTCACATTTGTCACTACAATGTTGCCTTGAACATACAGGTGGCACTTTTCCTACAATTTCATCATAGTTTTTTGTTAGGTGAGAGAATTCTTCTGACAATGCTTCATATTTCCCATATAATTCCCGATTTTTATCTTGAAGTACTTCAACAAGGTTAATGTTTTTTTCACACCTATCACTACAATGTTGACTTGAACAAGCTAGTGTAACTTTTGGTGCTACCTGTTCTGAAACATTCTGTTCAATCTTCTTCAGATTCATTAATTGTTCCTTTCTCTCATTTTGCAACTTTTCCTTTACAAGATTTTTCATCTGAACTTTCATGGCATTATATTCTCCTACTACTTTCATCAATTTGTTTTCTGAAACTCCTTTTTCTTTGTTGACTTCTTGTAATTTTTCTATGCTTCTAGAAACCTCTATTTTTAGTTCACTAATAGATCTCCTATATCTGTCTTCCATCATTTTAATTTCAACATTATGGATAGACTCAATATTTTTCAGTATCTGTCCTATATTGTCTGAACATGTTTCAGAATTTACTAAAATACCTCCTAACTGTTTCACAAAGTTGGATTCTTTATCAAAATCTGGAGAGAAAACATTGATTAATTTATATTGATACACTCCTTGATACACAATTTTCTGAAATGGAATATTCACATACCTATACACTCAATTTCTTCCTGAATTGTTCTTCTTCTCATTCTGTTTGATAATTTACATATTGAATTAACTAAACAAGATAGTATGGAGCTATCTGAATTATTGCAGTAAGAATTTAAAGCTTCTTTACCAAATTCACTATTTCTTTGGACTCCAATGAGCTCAAATATATTTGAAAGATTTTCAAAACTATACCTAAATGGCTCTTGAATATCATCAAACTTTAGATATTCTGGAAATACATTTGTTAATGCAGCTTCAGTGTTGAAAACCGATAAAGAGTAGTGATACTTATTAACCATCAGGAATTCAGCTACAATTAAATTAATGGCTTGTTTTGAAAGACTATGATGTGAAACTGATCTTTTACTGATATTTCTTCCAATGGCAGTGTTTTTTAGTATGTTGATCATTTTGAATCTAAGCTGGGATCGGAGGTCTGTTATGATTCCTTTCTCTTCAAACCATGATGTCAACAAAGTTTGAAATTCTTCAGCTGACATATTACTAGCTTTTGAGCCCGTAAAGGGTATAGCAACATTGATGTTGTCCATAATTATTATTCAACACTTGAAAAACTCAGGAACACAAATTGTTCATAATAAAAACTTGACACTTGCTTGAATAAACCAACATAAACTACAAACTAGAGGATTCAATATTAATATTTTGATGGATACAAACGATACAAACAACAAACAAAACAACTAACCTCCAAACATAAAACCTAACCCTACATAACGTTCTTCCCTCTTTTAGTAAAAGCGTCGAGATTGTCGAGTACACTATTAACAGTTTCAACAGCTAAAAGGGCAATGGCATTAATGGCAAGATCGGCATCTGGCATCTGATACAATGCAAATCACCAAACCCTAAGGCCAGGAGTCATAATGACGATTGACAATGTCAAATTGTCAAATTATGACAGGAGCTGTGCTGAATAATAAAAAATGAAAATAATAATCCAAATAATCTTATAATTTAGAATTCAAAATTCAAAATTTATTCCAGTATTTATATTTTTGAAACTATGAGTGGGCAGTAAAACTTGCAGAGTTTAAAGTTAGTGAAGTTTCAATTCAGTGAGTTCTCATGGCTACAGAAGGTGAGATGAATGATAATTTTCCATTTTCCGAACAGCATAACCATTTATTTTCTTTGATATCGGTATAATATGCTTCAAATATTTCCAATTGTTTATTTTTGTGAATTTTATCATTCGTCAAATTTATAGTCGAGTTTATAGTGTTCTATTGTTGCTCTTTCATAGGTACCTCCATTACTGGCTCCATACCTTCCTTTGCCTTTTGCCTGTAATTAATTACCTACCCACTTGCTTACTATTGTTGATCAATCTTGAAATAGGTACAAATTTTTGTATGACTAGGGAAGGTGGAGAATGAACAACTAGGTACTAGGGACACTGGGGTAGGAATGGGTAGATAGTGAAATCAGTAAATTTCACATAACAGTTACAATTAAAGAATGAAATTGATTAAATTGCTTAAGTTTATGACCTTTCTGAGGATATTTATTCATGTAATATAAATTAGAACAAGTTACACAGAGGTATATTCTATCTGAACACAATATTTTGTGCATTTGTGACTATACTAGGTCTAGGTTTCTATTTTCCTTCATCATTACAATAGTAGTGTTATCCTCTGTTTTATCTAATGGATATTATCAATTTTCATCAATTCCAACTGTTTTTCAAAGAGCTAAAGCTGAAGATGCATTTCTTAAATTCGAATTATTTAGGTTTGAAGCTGAGAATAATTATTTCAACCAAGAAAAATATTAATAGCATGATTAACACATGTTTCCTCATAATAGTAATTATAGTATTGCTCATTAGTTTTAATTGAGTTGGTCTAGTGAATACTGTTTCCTTTTTCATGAGAAACAAGGTGTTCCAAATTATTAATAAGTTTGGTGAATAAAATATTCCTCAGATGTTCACATCGTTTAATTAAACAATTCAATTCATTCAATCTAGAAAGTAGAATGACTTACTTAAATACTGGAGGTCACTTCATTTCATAGTCAAAAAAATTGAGTTATGTTTCTATTTCAATCAGACCCAGATATAGTATAGGTACTAGATATCAAATTGTGAATAATACATTTTTTCAAAATTGACTGCTTGTGTACATACTCATGTACATACTTAACTTATTTTAGAAGTGTGGTTTTAGCGATTCTGATGTGGTTACATTTCTTAGGTACAGTTTCCAGCACAGTTTTATCATTATCATCATCAGACATGATAAATATGTTGATCTACTTCAAGATCATCCCTTCATTATATCTTTGAAAGTACTTGAGTAAAATGTCTAAAATATATATTCCTATGACGAAGACAAGAGACTTAACCCGAGGACTGAACCAATGAAGTTGGATTAAATTTTATTTCTTCGGAACTCATTCTCCGTTAAGTCCTAATTCCACCCAAGAAAAAAATCAATAAGGGTGCCTCTAAAATACCGATATTCTCAAATAGATATAGGTAATATCCAATAGACTTTTCCATCATTATCGTCTCATGCTACTTACCATCTAAATCATTTCATGACAGGATACAATCATAAAAGGCAATAACTTCTGATTGTCGTATTTGTATTCGACTATACACTCATATCCATCAATTTTGTTGTATAAAAAAAGTATTCAGCTCATAAATGGTTTCGGCAGTTAATCACATAGGCTCGCACATAGGCGTAGAGGTTTTTCCGAGGTTTTCCACAAACATTCGAGTCAACAGAACTGATATATCACTCGACTTTATATCTACTACTCCTCTTAAACTATCAAACATCTCAGAATCAAGTTTGGAAAAAAATTAATACTTTACATAGTTTTTTGAAAAAAACAACTTAGCTTACTTGCATTAATACTATGGGTCGCCATTTGATAGTTAACATTGTTTCAAGCAGGGTTGGAATAAGTCATGACTTTCATGAAAGTCCGAGTTGTTACAAAACCGGCAAGTGATATGCTGGTTACGTAATAAAATCTCAGGTGTAGGGTGTCAAAACTGAGGGAGGAACAATCAGTGGTTGTTTCTGATATTTTGGATTATATTTTCATCTAAAAAGGACATACAGGACTTACATAAAAATGTTCCTAACCAAGAACCTGGGAATCGTTCCCAAGGACAACATTCACTACAAATTAAAATATGAAATTTACATACCTAAAAAGGACCTGGCAGTTGGCACCAATAATCTTAGGATAATATTATTGTCAAAACCAAAAGGTTCGCTTCTTGACTACTCATATACGCTATTTCGAACTAAGAAAACAGCATCGGATTACGCAAAGATTGACATGACGTCCAATTTCTCTTTCTCTCGCAATTTCTCCTACACCAACACGAATGCTCAACAAGAAAAACTCTCGTGGGTACCGGACTGATAAACATGCAAAAAATTCAGGACTAGAATGTGAATGCAGGCGACATCTATTTATTGGATGGAAACAATATGTACAGAGATGGAGAGAAAACGGTTTACGACAGTGGACAAGTTTGGGTTAGCTCTTCAAAATTATGGGATAAAATAAAATATCTGCAATGGATTGAGAGTGTCAATATTAATATTTTGGAAAATAATTATTTGAGTCAATTTGACAATCTTGTATGAAAACTAGTACAGTAGCAAGTGTTTCAAAAATCCCATTTCTATTATTTCATCTCTGGAATCATCAATAATTATATTCAACAACAATCTACATTCTACAGCATACGAAAAATTCGGGTATCTTCAATTACAAGCAGAATGGGTACATTGAAACATTAAAATGATGTGTGTGATGGGCAAAATGACACAAAAATGGCATGAAAAAAGTTATCACAATAAAATGAAAACCTGACAAACTTCAAAAATGTACTCACCTATATGAGGATGTTCAGGAAAATGTGTTTGAAGTCTGCAACATACCAAAAATCCAGCGATTTTCATCGAGAGCCATTTTCCCGAGCATTTTCCCTATAGTTTAGTGCGGGGTCCTTTGAAGTCTAGTCACGTTTTTCCGTTTTTTCCCGAAAACGAAGCGTTTTATCGAGTATTAACAAGAGGATCTTTTTTGTACATAATTAAATAGCCTTTCATAGCATTATATGAAATTTGAAAATTTTTCGTCGTTGCTCACTTTCGAGTAAATTATAAACAATAATTTTCCCGTAACGGTGCCACTGGTAGAGAAAATGAAAATTGTTGCGCATCAGAAAATGCACCTTGAAGCATAAAAGACGTGAACCAAATTTCAGAAAGATGTATACAATATTGTCTCAGTTATCATCAAATTACTGAATATTTTTCAAAACTTCATCACCCTGTATCTCAAAAGTTGAGACTTTCAGGACATACGTTCATATGAAGTTTTCTTCTTAAAATGAGTCAGAGATTCACCCTCTCAAATATTAGCATGTTTTTGAGGAACACCCTGTATAGTGTGACCCACTTCTAATGGAAACACCCCTGTATCTTACGTAATCGTCGTGTAAGGATCCTGAAATTTGCTGGAGTATGTCCAAGTGGGGTCATCTTCAGTGATATACACTGCTCGCCAACAGCCATGGAATCACCCAATTTCCGGAAAATGATATTAGGAGTCAAAATCGGTCGAAAATCACTTCAGATTCGGAATCAGGACGCCCAATTCACTGACTACTCATATTTTTCCTGGAAAATTTTTAGTTCTGAAAAATTGAATTTTGACGCACTTTTTACGGAAGCACCCCCGTATCTTACGTAATTGACTTTATCTTTGGATTGTCCCTTCCTCCTGCAAATTTCAGAACCCTACCTCAATAATTACGTGAGATACGGGGGTGCTTCCATGAGAAGTGAGACAAAATTTGAAAATTTTCTAGGAAAACTATGAATAGTTAGTGAATTGGGCGTCCTGATTCCGAATCCGAATCCGAAGTGATTTTCAACCTATTTTGATTCCTAATATCATCTTCCGGAAATTGGGGTTATTCCATGGCTGTTGGCGAGCAGTGTATATCATTGAAGATGACCCCACTCGGTCATAGAGTGCATTTTTGATATATCTCTCGCTCCAGCAAATTTCAGGATCCATACCCAACGATTACGTAAGATACATGGGTGTTTCCATCAGAAGTTGGTCACACTGTACATCTCCAGAGCATAACATAATGAAACTTACAATTTTTGCGAAACAAACTGGAACTATTTATTGAATAAAAAATAATAAATGCTTATACAACTATTAGGTACTTCAGAATTTTCATAAGAGGCGCTTTACAGTTCGCAAGTTTCCAAGAAAAGCAACAATTTTCATTGCACACCTACGCGTTAGTGCGTCATTTTGGAAAGCAATTTTTCGTTGCATTACAAGAAATGAGTCCGGACCTATTTATATTGCGGCAATTTGTTTCACTGGTACAATTCTAGAGATATAATGATAGATTTTCCGAATTCCATGATGCACATTGGATGTTACTTTTCTCATGGTTTCTTCTACCCAACTCAAAACTCGGTAAAAAGTAATACACAGAATTTATGACAAAAAGACATTGAATAGCCTACATATTATTTTTGACAGAAATATGAATTGGAGCATTTTCATTTCATTTCATTTTCAGTCTCACCAGTTGGCGCTACTTAGTGAGTGTCAAAGTAACAAATCCTAAAATTTTGCTATCCGGCCTTTTTTCTCAAGTAAAAACACAAGAGCTTTTTTTATCGGATAAATTTCTCTTGGTAATGAAGAACATTTGCCGATCAGTAATTTTACGTCGAGAGAAATAAGGGATGGAAAATGTTTGACTTAGTAAGGAAATTCATCCAATAAAAAAAAATAAAGAACAATATACAAATAAAAAACAATAACGATTACCTTTATTGATAATTCCGTGTAACGGGTAGTTTGCGGAAGTGATTTTCTCATATTTTCGTAGTTCCTTCAGACGAAATTTTCCTAAAACGGCTCATCGTGCTATTTTACGCGTGAACCATACACATCAATCAAAGTTGACACGACAGAAATATACTAAAAAAGCTAGCAAAGCCACTTTCGATTTTCAACATGAGATACATCTCATAATTTTAGGCTCATTTTAGGCTAATTTATTAC